ATCGCAAAGAACTACTTGTACTACAACTAAACTCGACTGTTTAGTTGACGTCAAATTTTAATCATAAACTATGTAGTTAAAAAACGACCTATTTTCATGCAATAATTCTCGTCTAGACGGTGGTACTGGGCGGTATAAAAGACTACATACCGGAGATCAAGCGTTGCCGGCGGCTGATGTTGATCGGTTGCGGTACGAGCTACCACAGCGCCGTGGCCACCAGACAGCTGCTGGAGGAGCTGACCGAGCTGCCGGTGATGGTGGAGCTGGCCAGCGATTTCCTGGACCGCACGACGCCCGTCTTCAGGGACGACGTGTGCTTCTTCATATCGCAATCGGGCGAAACGGCCGATACGCTGATGGCGTTGCGGTACTGCAAGCTGCGCGGCGCTCTGATCATCGGCATCACGAACACGGTGGGCAGCTCGATATGCAGGGAATCGCACTGCGGCGTGCACATCAACGCCGGCCCCGAGATCGGGGTGGCTTCGACCAAGGCGTACACCAGCCAGTTTATATCGTTGGTGATGTTCGCGCTGGTGATGAGCGAGGATAGGCTGTCGTTGCGGCAACGGAGAGAGGAGATCCTCAACGGTTTGAAGAATTTGCAGGAGCAAATCAGGCAGGTGTTGAAGTTGGACGATAAAGTTAAGAAGTTGGCGGAGGATTTGTATAAGAAGAAATCGTTGTTGATTATGGGTAGGGGTTTCAATTTCGCTACGTGTTTGGAAGGCGCTTTGGTAAGATACTTAAACTTGAAGTGTGATTTTCTTTTACTTACAGATTTCTATAATTTCAGAAAGTAAAAGAACTTACTTATATGCACAGCGAGGGAATAATGGCAGGGGAACTGAAGCACGGGCCATTGGCTCTCGTCGACGAATCTATGCCCGTCATGATGATCATTATGAGAGACCCTGTATACAACAAATGCATGAACGCCCTACAACAAGTACGTAATAATTAGATTTGATTTCAAATTCAGTCTAACGTTCTTATAATTTTAATAGGTAACGGCTCGCGAAGGAAAGCCGATATTAATTTGCGAAGAAGGTGATAATGAAACGATCGCCTACAGTCAAAAATACCTCCAAATACCGAAAACTGTTGATTGTTTACAAGGAATTTTGACCGTAATTCCTTTGCAATTATTGTCCTTCCATATTGCCGTATTGAAAGGATGCAATGTCGATTGTCCTCGTAATTTAGCAAAGAGTGTTACCGTTGAATAACGAAGACAATTTGAATCGTGATTTTTTTTTATCTATAAAATTCTTTTAAATTTCAAAGGGACCAGGATATTATGTATTTTTTATATTTTTTTGCATTGTACTGAAAATATTCAAGAGGATTTTTATTGTTTCATATCTTCATCATAAGGCGCTGTAAAAATTTGCTGAGACGATATATTTTTCTATTTTTTTTTAATTTTCTACATGAGTTTGTTAAATGCTTTATTATACTTATTTGGATATGATACATGTATGATGTTCTGTAAAAAAATTTGTACAGCTCATGTACCACTTATCTTTTAAAATTGTTATATTTTGATTATTTATTACAAAGTTTATATTTATTATTGTTTTATACACATTATTTGATTTATATTGCCTATATTTAATCAAAAATGCAATAAAGGAATTTTTAAATTAAACGTTTTTCGTCATGCTTCCTTTTTTGGTGCAGTTAAAATTCTTAATGCATCAGGATTCATCCAGGACTTTTCCCAGAAGTACCTCTCGATATAATAAATATCTCCCGATACTGGACTTCCTAGCATATTCTCCTTGCCTAATATCCGAAATTTATCAACGGAGATCGACGAAAACTTGTGCTCAAATCTCGAATTAAAACGTGAATTTAAAATTTCGTATTAGGAGAACAGAATGCGCGAGGAGGTTTACTTATGACGCTTATTAATCGCGCTCCTGTTCGATTACAAATACGTACAAAGGCAACCATTTAATCAAATTTCGGTAATTCTGGTTGCCTATCTATTGTATTAGTAAAGCGCGAGTAATAAGTATCAGGAGTAAACCTCTTCACACATTCTGCTCTCCTAATACGAATTCTTAAATTCACGTTTTATCGTGAGATTTTCATACGTTTGACACAAACTACTCGAACTCCTAATATTTGTTTCTCCCGATCTTTTTGCTTTAATAGCTCCAGATTTTTACAAATTGCGTTGAAAAAGTTTTGCGTTTTTTTTAATGAATGAAAAATACTAAGAATTCTAAAATCAGGATTAAGGATGTCATAAATTTTTTTTAATATTCTATTTTCGTATCATTTTTGTAATAAGGAATTATTAATAATGCCCAAAATGTTAAATTATCTTTGAAAATGTGTTTTCAAGAACGACGAAACATTTAGAATATTTATTAACGCATCAGGATTCATCCAGGACCTTCCCTAGACGTATCTCTCTCGATATACTAAATATCTCCCGATATTGAACTTCCTTGCATATTCTCATTGCCTAATATCCGAAATTTATCAATGGAGATCGACGAAAAATTGTGCTCAAATCTCGAAATAAAACGTGAATTTGAAATTTCGTATTAGGAGAGCAGAATGTATGAAGAGGTTTACTCCTGATACTTATTACTCGCGCTTTACTAATACAATAGATAGACAACCAGAATTACCGAAATTTGATTAAATGGTTGCCTTTGTACGTATTTGTAATCGAACAGGAGCGCGATTAATAAGCGTCATAAGTAAACCTCCTCGCACATTCTGCTCTCCTAATACGAAATTTCAAATTCACGTTTTATTTCGAGATTTGAGGACAAGTTTTCGTAGATCTCCATTGATTAATTTCGGATATTAGGCAAGAAGAATATGCAAGGAAGTCTAGTAACAGGAGATATTTATTATATGGAGAGAGGTACTTCTACGGAAAGTCCTGGATGAAATTTATCATTTTGGGCATTATTATTGTTTTATAGTAGAAATGATGAGAAAGTCGAATGCTAAAAGTTTTGTCGAGTTTATTGAAAAAAAACGCAACCTTTTTCAACGCAATTTGTAAAAATCGGAAGAATAGTTTAGTACATCGTTCGAAAATTTCTCGTTAAAAATTTGCGAATTTGAAATTTCGTAGTAGGAGAACAGAATGTGTGAAGAGGTTTACTCCTGATACTTATTACTCGCGCCTTACTAATACAATAGTTAGACAACCAGAATTACATTTATTGATCGAAAATCGATTTACGGATACTATTAGGTAGGCAACCTATTTATCTATTATAAATTAGAAATGATAAAGTATGAACGATTTTTTGTAAAAAATGCATTATACATTAAAATTTTTGAAAAATTAACAAAACTGCTGCATTTTTTAATTGCTAATTACATGAAAACTGGTTGGAATTGGCGATTTCAAAATATATAAAACAAAACACTTTCAATGAAATTTTTATTTTCTTACAATAAACTCACTACCGTTAAATGCAACAAAATAGAGACGAAATATTAATATACAAAAACGTTACAGGAGTAAAATCATTGTGTCGATCTCAATTCTTACACTTATTTCGCACTTCTTCATGAAATTTTCCTTTTATGGTTTTGTATTCCTTCTCGGTTTGCCTGTTGAATTTCGTTAAGAGTCGATACAAATTCACCTACAAATCACAAATTATTACATACACTCCTATTATAACATAACGCTTTGAAATGCATACCTGAGGAATGATATATTTATTATTCTCTCAGAAATTCATCGATAAACAAAATGGCGAAGGCCGTAGATCGCAAGATAGATACAAAAAGGGGCGATTCCGTCTTTTTCTTAATACCATCCAATGCTCAATCAAGGGCAATCAGGAACCAAAGACAAAAAAATCTATCGGATCTCCTACAAACAATAACTCAATTATAACAATAATTAAGCATTATAAAACTAGCTAACCCTGCTGAGTGAACTGAAACCTCTTTTAACTCCACGATACAACAGCTTGGAGAGAATTTCTTGATACTCGTACATGCTCTGTGAAGTTCCTGGGATTCCACAATTTCCTCATAAGCTCGCCGAACCTCTGCAGGAGCAGATGGAAGGTCTCTTTACATTACTGCAATTTTCTTCTCTCGAGAAGTCATTCCGAAGCGGATTAACAAGAGTAAAGCCTGCAATTTTGCGCATTTAAATTAAGAAATAGCCAATTTCGTTCGGTTAACTCGACTTACCTGCAGCACTGCATTACAGTAATCGTTAGCTTTATATGTACAACGATGTTTAGATGTACAACGATCCATCAATAGGTCTGGACAACTTCGTGGGATTCAACACATACTTCATATCATTTAAAGAGGAATCTATAACAAACTGTTTGATTACTTAGTATTCCCACAATCATTATAACCCCTCTACCTATAATTTTATAATTCCCTGGTAAATAGTAGAATCCAAATATTGACACAAACTTACGTTACCTGCGGAAGATGGATTATGGATGTACTTTCCAGTTTTCCAGAATTCTCCTCCTCGTGGTGCATCCTAGGTAATGCTAAAGGGTCCGTCGGGCTTATAATCGTGTGCAAACCCCCTAAATTAATTGCCAAAAAATTGTTGATTTATTTGACAATAATTACTAACCTACAAACTTCTTCTTTTTTTTTTTTCACTAATAAAAGAAGAAACTCAATGGCTGTGAAATGTCAATTACGGCCTTACATAACCAAGGTCTGGAAACTTCTAAATTGGTATGTCACGTTGCTTGTCTACAAATGTTATAAGTGGATATAAATTTGAAAGCATAGATCGTTCGTACGACAAAATAAACCAAACATTTAACTGAAACCCACTAAACTTTTGCAATAATTGTTAAGTTAAACGTTTTTCGTTATGGCGTTATCGGCGCCATCTATTAGGGAGTTGAGGCAACCCGTACTTGGTTTATTATTTGACAGTGACTTCTGTCATGTGTTTGACATTGACAGACTTCAACTAATATAAATAAAAACAACTGTTTCTCAAGGTCTATAGGAGTCGACTAAAAGTTGACCTTTTATTTATTGAATTATTTGTGTAATTAATTTTATTCCTTAATTAAGGAATGAGTCGTCTTAAAATGTTAATATGCGTTTTAGAAACAAACCGTGTTTGTTGAGTATTTTGTTAATTTTAACGACGATATGCGTTGTTTATGTAGAAATATTTTCTTATTACTTAAATACGTATCATTGGTATCAAATAGAATGTCTTCACCCGGATAAATGTACCAAAATATTATTAGTAGCCGATCCCCAAATTATCGGAAACCACGATGAGATTTTGCACTTTTTAACGCCTTTTACCATTTTTGATAGCGATAGGTAAGATTTCGGATTTACGCGTAACGCTCCTTTGTAGATTCGCAACACTTCTTTTGTAGATTCCTCAGGAAAACTTATTTACAAGCCTATAATTTCGTCCAGCCCGATATCGTTATCTTTCTTGGAGATCTCATGGACGAAGCTCATCGTGCTTCAAACCAAGAATTTCATCAATATGTTAGGAGATTGTTAAATATATTTTTGGATACATCAAGCTCATCTACAGTGAGGGTATAAGCAATAAAAAAGTGCCGTTATGAAAATGGGAATTTATCGAATTTAAAATTTTCAGCACATTTGGCTACCCGGTGATAACGACATCGGTGGCGAAGATTCCATGATTACTCAAGAAAAAATTCGAAGGTTCGAACGAGCTTTCTCCCAACCGAATCTCATTACGTTCAGAAATCTCAATCTTTTCAAAATCAATCGATTAATCTCAGACATTCCCGTATATAAAAGCAACAGAGACTTCTACAATACAAGCAATATATTCATCGGTCTCAGTCACATACCGTTGATGTTCAAACCCTCTACCTTCGTAGAAAAGGTAATTAATAAAATGAAACCGCAGATATTATTCACCGCTCACGAACACAAATCAATAATAATCAATGCTGATGCTCACCTCCGTCAAAATATCCATCTTACGCCCGTTACACCAGACAACAACGGCATATTCGAATACACTTTAGGAACCGAAGACATGTACGAAATCATCGTACCGACGGCCTCTTACAGGATGGGAACCAGTAACGTTGGTTACGGTTACGCCGTTATAGGTAATTTCATCATTTAACCTTAACAAAAAAAAAAGAATAATTTGTACATTATTGTGTGTCAATTTATTGCTTGTCTTACCAGTGTGAATTTGAAGATAAATAGTAAACTCTCTGGTTTGTATTGTGTGTTGTTATAACACAGTTTTAAAAATTTATTGAGTATTATGTTTTAGATTTTATTATTGTTTCAGAAAAGAACAATTTGAAGTACACTCTTTTGTGGTCTCCGTCCAGGTTCAACCAGCTTAATTTATATTGTATCTTAATTTTTTTATTCGTTTTATATTTTCTGTGTAGGTTAGTAGTCAAATGCTTTAGAGTTTTATGTTCATTCCGAAGAAAGCTCTAAAAACCAATGCTCTCATCTCCGTCCATTTCCATGAAATCAAACTATTGGAAAATATGAAATTAAAAATTATTTACAAATTTGTCGTGTTTTTGTGTTATTGGCCTCGATACATTGTTTGAGTTCAAATTTTAAAATAACTTGCTGAAGTCGTAAAAATTTAATCAAAAACAACCAATGTTTATAGCCAATTTAAAAACAAAACCTTACAATTGTTTAATACATTTAAGTAATTTATGTGCCACTAAAAATTGTAACTGGGCATATTGTTAATTAAAAATTGATTATTAGGATAATTTATTAACGAATTGCTGTTTCTTTACACAAATTTAATTCAATCAGAAATATTAATATAAGGAATCTTGCTTTTAAAGCTAAACTTTTGATCAAACCGTGAGATTATTTATACTAAAACAGTCTTGCAATGTACATCATTTAGACTGATGATCCTAAAATAAATTATTCACATACATAAAAATTACAAATTCATTGTAGGAAGGTACATATTTCGTACATACAAAATACGAAGAAGGCGTATACAATATGTTAATTTCAAAGCTCATCAATAAAATTTAAAATAAATAAAGTACAAAAATTACACAAATACTCATTGCACGACTGTCAAATATTTGGCTTTATGCGTAACCGGCTGCAACTGCTTCTTCTGAGCCTTAATTCTATAGCTGCAATAGGTTCTCAGGAATATACTCAAGAAGACTAGAATCAACCCGATGGCGCCGAAAACGGACACTTTATGATGGTAGATGATGCAACTGAGCAACACAGAGAAACCCTGTCTAATGGTACTGATAATAACGAACACCAAAGGCCCGTAGGTCGAGACCGTGTTGTAAATAAACAACTGGCCACAAGTGCTGCACAACGAAAGGATTATTATATCTATAGTAAACGAAGGAAATTTCATCATAAAGCTGAGACCATTCATGAAACCGTCCTGTTGGAGCAGAGACACGGCGGTGAATATGCTGGAAAAGAAGTTGACGAAGCACATCATTTGCACCGGTTTCATTTCGTATTTCTTGAACAAACTACCCTGCCAGTTCGACGTAAAACTATCGAACGCAATGTAGGAACACAGTAATATCACGCCAGAAAAGGTCGTTACAGTCGAATTCGATCTATCGTTGCCCGTATCGATCATAAACAGCAACATACCTAACGAAAGGATAACGGCCGTAACGTACTCGTAGTACTCATATTTGGTTTTAGACATGAATCTACCCATTATCATTACTGGAATCGTTTTACTGGCTTTAGCGAGCACTTGGTGCGGAAACGACACGTATTTCAACGCCTCGTACTGACACCAAGAACTCATTATATTCGAGAACGAACAGTAAGCGTACTTGTACAACGGGCATTTATGCCTCGGCTGTCGCTTGGTTATTAAAACGCAAGCGGATACTAAAAACGCTAAAATTCGATTAACAAACACTAAAAATTGGGAGTCTTTAAAATACCCGATGTCCTTGTTCGAGCTTTCGTATGCCTGCGTCATAACCTTCTCCTGGAGAACACCCCACAGCAGGTAGGAAAGCTGGAGGCCGAAGAAGTGGAATAGCAGGAGAAATACATCTTGAAGAAGCGACCTTTCCTGGCACGACGCCTGTCCCTCCGCAGTCACCGGTAAATTGTCCTCTTCGCCGAAACAGGTTCTTATGATCGCCCCTATCACTCCTCGGCCGCTTTTGTTGATGTAATTCGTTTGTTGTACATATTTGAGCACCAAATAACCCGGCAGAAACAACGTCGCGTACCCCAAAATGTTCCGTACACCGTGCAATATCCAACTGTACTCCTCAGGGGGATTTTGAACCAATTCTGTCCCTAAAATACTTATATTTACGAAGTACAGAAACACGATCGAAATGAGCACTATCAGGCAAATAAAAACTTCCGAATTATTTGCCATGCTGGTTAGAATAGCATATTTCAAACTGTTTTATTTATTAAATACATCTGCACTTTTCAAATAATAATGCAGATAAAAACTAAAAACTTGTCATTGTCATCTTTTATTCAACAAGAAGAATCAATCCGCGCAATGTTGCCAAATTAATTATGGTCATTTACTAGTAAGTTATTTATCCGCATATAGTCCATAAGTCATAATTGTCAAGTGTCAAATTGCATCAGATGTCAAACATTCTAGGTTAATTAAAAGTTCTACCGTTTATTTATATAAATAATTATTTATCGTTAATAAAATGGATGATGCTCCGAAAAGAGGCCGGGGCAGAGGCAGAGGCAGCCGAAGCCGCGGTCGAGGTCGCGGTAGAGGACGAGGAAGAGGTAAAAAGGCCATAAAAGTAATAGAAAGCGACGAGGAAGAAAGCCTTTCAGTGGAAATCGCCGAGCACTCGTCCGGTCTCGATGACACCGTTGAAAATGTGCCGCCTCCGAGTAAGCCTTCCGACATTTTCAGTTCATTACAACGTTTTTAATTGCGGTTTTTAGTCGATCTCGAAGCGGACATTTCACAACTCGAAGCACCGACATTCACAACTATCAACAGGGGACCTCCAGAACCTATGCTACGCCTCGATTGGTCGCATAAAGTGAATTTAATGGGAGAGAAGGTTCTGAATCCAATGATACACTGTTGCGACAAATGTTTAAAACCTATATTGATATACGGACGAATGGTAAATATCGTACTCGAACCCATTCTATTTATTAAGTTGTTTATATTGCAGATTCCGTGTAAACACGTGTTTTGCTTAACGTGCGGTAAAAAAGAACAAAAACAATGTCCCCGATGTTTGGATAAAGTAACGAGAGTCGAACAAACCGGTTTAGGAACGGTATTTATGTGCACGCACGAAGGTACAAGGTACGGCCAAAATGGATGTCGCAGAACCTATTTATCTCAGCGAGATTTACAAGCCCACATCAACCACAGGCACGTGGCGAACGCCCCCTTGAACCAACAACCCATGGAGGTCATCGAGCAGGATCGATCGCTGCCCGTTCGCACTAAAATAGCCAACGATCCGAGATCGGGAGGCGGCGTTCCGGGCAACGTCAGGCCGAGGAGCCTTCCCGCGCAAACGTCCGGCGTCCGGACCAATCTGATTACGGTGCCGATTCAAGAAACCGCCCCGACTATACACGAACCGGCGCCCGCGAGTCAGAATTACTACAATCAGTTCCAGCAAAATGCCACGTACACGCAGTCGTTGCCGCCGATACACATTCCTCCGCCACAACAGCCGCAATATTACAACGCGCCGCCGTCTTTTAGTCCGGCGCAAAGTTACCCGGCTTATACGGGAAGCACGCCGCCCGTTGGGCAATATGCGCCTGCTGTACAGACGCAAAACAGGCAGGCTGGTCAGTACGATTACGGTGCCGCTCCGCCACAATGGACCAACAATCAACAATATTATAGATAGGTGTTTTATATTTTGAAATGTTGCGTACGTTTCGTACAGGATTAGAAGAAATTTACTTAAAATAAAATAGGGATTATTACCTGGGATAGATTTGGAAACGTGGAGGGGTTCTGAATGATCTGGAGGAAGGTTTTTCTGTAATAAAATAAAATTAATTTTCAAACAATTTATTTTCCAAAGATCTACAATAAAATGAGCGGAATGGATCGAAATCAAATAGTACATTCACAATACTAGAATCAAGACATGTTAATTATTATTATCTATAAGGCACAATGGCTTAAATTTTTATTCTTTGGAAATGTTATTAGAAAAACGAACCAACGTATTATATTCTTTTATTCTTTGTAAGAAGTTTTAATAACAAATATTGCTCTTTTATGACCTAGTGATGAACTTACATGTAAGGAAGCATCCGGAATTACGAAAGTTTCTTTGACTCATAATTGTAAGAACAGTTCCCTTAATTTTCACATTGTAAAATGCAACTCGAGGCTTATTTGTATAGGAATAACCGAAATTCTTCATGAAAGTTTGGAAACCGCATGTTTAAGGAGCGAGAATAAATAAAAAAATAAATCGATCGAACGATAATATTTAAAATAATCAACAGTGTTAAAAATATTTCTAACCGATTAAAAAATATCCCAGCACCCAGCAATGAGCATTGTTTAGATTTTATACAAAATAATACAAAATATATGTGCAAAAATCCTAATACTTCTTTTCCCATACATTAAATGCTAATAATTGAAATTATTAAAGTTAATCATCATTAAATTAACGCTATAAAAAAGCAAGATAGATTGGCTAATCTCAGTGTAATTTTAAAATAATGCATCTTTGGACTCTACGTAAATATCTGCTAAACCCACACGAAAATTAGAACAACTCGTCATATTTTAGCTACCTAAAATGTTTATATGACGAGAACATATTCATTAGAAAACATTATTTAATTCAACACCTACAAGTATCCAATATTGTGTCATATAATCATTTGTAATTAGAAATAAACTCACGAATACCCTGAATTTTTATTTGCAATTCGAATCTTCAATATTCGACAAACTAAACGAGCCCCTACACTATACCTTACGTAACCGTTCAATTTCGCAACGTTTTGAGAAAATATTTCGGAATGAAAATTTTACCTATGTATGTATTGCCACCTGAGATCAATGTATGGGTCTGCGTAATTTCCATTCGACGTTCCGAATCATTGGAAGGCCCCGAAGAATTGGTTATTCTGCTGATTAGGAATGGAATTCTGTACGTTGTTGAAGTTCAATTGGGTACCGAAACCGGTCGGAGAGGCCAGCCCGGCGTTCATTAAGGGCTTCGGTTGATTAACGGGAGACGTTTGATTGCTCGCTAATTGATTCATACTCGGAGATGGACCTGCGAGATGTTGTTTTTAGTAGAAATTTAGCGGGAAATTTTGGGGATCGAAGTGATACCTGTTTTTGGTTTGCTCATTAGTAAATTGTCCAAATCGATGTTGATATTTCCGGAATTCTTCCATGTTTTGCCGACTGGAATGTTTTTGTTTACGTTAACGGTTAGCTTATCTGCGTTATTGTTCGAAGTGGAAGACGTCGGTTGGAGTAGAAGCGTGGAAGTCGGTGTTAAAACTGGACCTGAAAAATGCACATAAAATTGTTCAAAAAGATATCCAAAATCGCAAAGAAAGTCGGTCAAAGATCTTCAGCAAGTTGAAAAAGTAAATCATTTAAAATCATTCAAAAATTGTATAAAAATATCTGTATGAAACTGTTAAAAAACTACCCAAAGTTAAGAAAGTCCGAAAAAACTTCCCTCAAAAAGTATAACATACGAATATGAAAATCATGAAATAAACTATTAAACTGTTAAAAAACACTCAAAATTCAGAAAAATGTAAGTCAAATATCTTCAAAACCAAAAATTAAAGAGAAAACGTTTAAAATCCCTTAAAAATTATATAAAAATCGCGAAATAAACACTATTAAAGCCACTCAAAATTAAAGTCTGTCAAATATCTTCATAAAAAAATTAAAAGACCGTTTGAAACCTCAAAAATGATATGAAAATCTTCAAATTTATAATCTCTTTATTAACCTTCAAAAAAACACCCAAATTTAAGATTTTCAACAGAAAATTTAATGAATTGTATTGCATATCAAATATTTGAGCAATGAAACAACACAAATTACAACAAAACGCATTTAATAATACAATCTTACAAATTATTTAAATCTACATCAGTTTCCTGCTTAAGCACGCTATCGATAAGAACAACAGCACAAGCAGCCAGAGATCTGCACTCCACATTCGGCTCCCCGTTAGGAGACAACACGTTCGACAACCACAATCGTATTTCGAACAACTGATCCATAAACTCCGACAACAGCACGAATTTGGGCACGTTAATAACCGCAGATGCTATAAGACTCAACACAGCCGTGCGCACCTTCACCTCTTCGTGGAACCTCAGAAACCACGAGAAATGGAATATCTCCTTGGCCATTTTCGCGGCGACCGGGCAATTTTGCGCGGCGCACATCACCGTCCCCAGCGTTTCGATAAAATGTATCAACAACACGAAATCGCCGTCGATTCGCGAGCGCCCGCTCAACATCTCGTTCCTGGGATAACCGTAGATGAGCGGAAAGAAAAAGCAACCGGCGCATTCGGCGAACCGATTCGCCTGCTCGCGCTTCACGCCAAACTTTTTACCGAAATACCGCGTTTTGCTCTCCAATCTCTTCCTTATCACCTCCTCGGCGCTCTTCAACTCCTCACGTTTCTTGCTTTTAACCGCCCGCTGCTCATCGCCAACTTTATCTTCTATTACGGAGAGATTTTTAGCCGTTTGTCTCAACACGTTCAGCATGAAAACTCTCCGGGATATCGAGAACGTGCCGATGTCCGAGTGGATTTGCTTGCACAAGTGCTCGGCGTAAACGCTCGGGTATACGCTCGTCACGGCCACGGCGCTGCGGAACATCAAATCCTCGAAATCATCCACGTAGACTTTGGGTTCGAGCGACAGCAGAATCTCGAGGATCTCCAAGCCGATGGCGGGATCGTCGTCGGGCAGTTGGGCGCCGACGAGGCGCTCGCAGTTCCGCAGGCTTTGCGCGAACAATTCGTAATCCTCGGTGTCGACGAGGCCGTCGCGGAGGTCTCGTAAATACGCCGGTACCTTTTTGCTCGACGAAATATCGTTAGATGTATCGTAGGGCTCCAAATCGTCGTCGGAGTCCAATTGGAAATCCGTGCTGTCGATGATTTTGATGCGTTCGTCGGGTTGTCGCTTGTAATTCGATACAGTTAGATTGTTTTTCGGTTCTTCCTCGACTGGTTTCTTTCTGAATTTCCTTTCGGGGGCGATATACAAACGTTTCTCCTCTTTTCCAACGAGTTTACCGACCACATCTTCGATTAAATCGAAACTAGTCTTCTCTTTGAAGTAAACCTGCAAGTCTTCACGCCAGATTTCCTCTAAATTACCCACTATATTTTTACATTCCTCGTTCAAAGCGTCGTATTCGAATTTCAGTTCGGATTCCGAGTCGTCTTTCGCGAGATAATTAACAATAATCTCGCCTACTTTCATGCCGGAAACTCTTATTGCGGGTACGTTCGATTCCAAATGCACCGTGATGCCTGCGAATGCTTTTTCTCGTATTCTCGCCGTCTCGTGATCGCTCAGGCCAATGTTTTGCATGGAATTGAACAAGTACAGTATAAACGAGGCCGTGAATAATTGTTGTTCCGTGCTGGTGTGGCGTAGCGCCGATTTGTCGCCCCAAATCGTTAGTAATTCATCGAACAGTTTGAGTAGCGGAGATTGAGCGTTCGAGCTCAAATACAACGTTAGATTCAGTATTAAATTCCTGTAGTCGCGCTCGAAATTGGTTAGTAACGGTAGTTTCGTGCACAAGGCGAATTCCCAGTTTTTATTCTGAAGCAATTCCTTTCCGAAGAGGTTTTTGATTAAGTATTTTTCAGGATTGATGGTTAACAGGATCATTTTAGCCAGTACGTTGATGGGGAAACGTTTCAAATTCAACAGCACGTTTCTGATTATTTGCCTGTAATTGTTCATTTTCTCAGTACTTTTGTTGGTTAATAAAGCGATTATTTCGATGAAATATTTGATAGGAAGCGATTTGGTGTTTTCGTTAAAGTCGCTTATAATCCTGCCGAGAAGCAACGATAATTTACTGTAGTTTATAAACTTCTCTTCCTTTTGGTACAGAAGCATATCCGATAAAAATTCAACGGTTCGTAAAAATTGCATCAGTAAAAAGTTCGGGTAGCGAGATAATTGGAAAAAATTCGGCACGTTTCCCTCCAAAACGTTAGAAATCCTGTTCGGTAGAGTCACCAAAATGGTAACGAAATTACTCCAAGTATCTTCGTCTCGCTTGAAATCATCTTCGCGCAGAGAATGGTGTATCAAAAAGGAAAACAATCCGTCGGATTCCAAAATCATCTGTAACAACTCCGCCATTTTCCAATCGGAATTCGCTGATAAAGCGTTAACAAATGTTACGAAAGTTATGTAAAAAACTCGGCGATCCTCTGCACATAGCAAATCTCTGACGCACCCAAACACCTTGTCGTCTCTAACAGGAAAATTATCATCGAAATAAGCCAACAAACATTCCAAAAATCTTCGATAAACACCATCCAAATTCTCGCTTAAACAATCATCGTCCACGTCAAACACTTTCTGTACAGTCAAAGGCCCCGGCAGCAATTCCACGATACGTTCGATACGCAACAAAACATCCTCCAATTGATTCTCAGTCGTTATCCTCCCCGCTTTCTCACCACTCCCAACAAAATCCCTCAATCTCCTCGCCAACACACATCTCGCACTGATTTTATTCGAGCCGCCTCGTTCGGTATCTGCAACGGGAAAGCTCGATGAGTTTCCCGAATCGCTACCGGACAACTTCTCCGCGACAGAACCGTCGTTCGCTTGAATCTTACCTGTACTGATCAAATCGTCGTTCGAGCTGCCCATAAATCCGAAGTTATTGTTGGGCGGAAGCGGCGACTGCACGCTCAGAGATCCGAAATCCAAGTCGCTGAGCAAGTCGCTGTTCCGAGACGCCGGGGCCGATTCCAAAGCGCCGAATAAGCTGGGCGGTGCGTTCGATAGGAGCAGATTAGGCGAAGCGTTCGACGGGGAAATCGCGTTGGGAACGCTCGAGTTTTGTGATGCCTCGTCCCGGGTGGGAATCGACGAGAAGGCCGAACTGAAATCGGCGAAATTGTCGATTTTCACGTCGTGAGTGGGGTCGGATGTGTTCGAGAAGGCCGTCTCGAAGTCTCCGAATTCCTGCGATGGTCTCGCGGGAACTTTCTCCGCTTCCGCGGCTCTTGGATTAAAATCGTCGTTTAAGAGATCATTACCTACGATTAAATTACATTTACTATTCATTACTAATCACTGTAATATTTCGTACCTATTGGCGGTAAAGGACTTTGACTGGCGTCCCTTCCAAAGTTAGCTGCAGCACCTAAATCAACTTTCTTCAAAGGTTTACTCAACTTCTTCGGAGAGTTATTTAGAGAAGTGTTGATGTTGATATTAACGCGATTATCTACATGTCGAGGGCTAGACGGGATGTCCACGTCCTGGAATCTTTTAATGCCGTTATTGTGAGCGTTATTTCTCGCTTCGCTATCGCTCTCGTCCTTCGTGTCCACCTCGAATTCTTCCTCGAACGATTTATCTGTGTAACGATTGGCGGAATTCGACGTATCGTCCCAATCCTCTTCTCTCGGCTCTCTGGCGTAACTACTTCGATCGTCCCACGTTTCGTGGCCTGTTCCTGATAGGACAACGAGTTAGGTGTTATCATGCGAGAGTTGATAATAAAAAGGTTATTTAAGTGATTATGTATTGTTTGGTTTATTTGAAACAATAATGTTTTATCATTTGAATGTGAATTGATAAATAAATTGTGGTAATTTGATAAAAGCTTACCGAATTTTGTTCCAAATGTGTCAGAGCTCATGCCGATGAATTTATCTTTATTTTTCTTGGCTTTTTTCCTTTCTTCCCTTAGACGATCGTCGTCTTGAACAAATTCTATCAGTTCTTTAACCTTATGCCTAATATTTACTCCCTGGTCTTTTCCTATGTCATCTATAAAAGTGTAATTTTCTAGTGATCTTAGATCGTAGATATGTTCCCTGGCTGACGTGACTACTCTTTCTGATCCATTTTTAATCAAATAATTCAAAAGCAGCAACGACTGAAAATTACGGTATTTTAATTAGTATTAACAAATACGTGTTAATCGTAAAAACATCATTAGTGTAATGGAATTTTTGCCAGATAATAACTAATCTATTCAGGAATAAAAACTATGTGTAAACATACTTTGTAGGTTCTTCTCCAATGCTGTTTATTATCTTGAAGCATTCTCTTCCACAGCATCGACATAACTTCGGGAAAATGTTCGTATGTGAAAGTGGAATGGGCCAATTCCTGCATTATTTGCCCAGTAGGTCCCCAAGGTTCCTCATTGGTGGCCTCGCGGACCTTTGCTTCTACTTCGGTGTAATTCATGACCACGTTCGTGCTGGACGATTATACATTATTAATAAAACAATCAACAAAACTACTGCATTCTGTTAAAACAATATAGGCGTATCGCGAAATTCAGGTAGAATTAAATTTGGGAAACTTACACCTTATCGGCCAGCTCGCGGACCTTCCACATGCTCGGGAAAAAGTTCTCCATGTTGTATAAACTAAATTAAATCGAATGCTCTATAGACTACGGTGAAAGTGTGATTATGTACGTTTAGAAACCACAAAAACGGTGACTTGGCCAGTCGTCGGCCATGATATAAAAAGTTGACATTGTTGACACTTGCCTTGTCACTTTCTAATAAGACATTTTTGACAGCTTGAGGCATTGTTGTCAAATTGTTAATAAAAATCTACATTAAATTTATTATCTAATCATATCATAAATAAATGTAATGCTTGATATGAATGATGATTCAGTTGTACTTTTTTTGAAATCATTTTCTTATTATAATAATAATCAAGCATTATGTTTTTGTGCAAATATATGAAGTGCATCATTTGAAATTGCAATGTTGTCAAATTGAGAAATTCTTAATAATAAGGATAATTAAAAATGGAGCATATTTTATGTAACTTTATTAGAATTTGAAATAATAAACCAACTTAGTGAAGCACGTTTTCTATTTAAAAATAAATTAATATTTAGAAGTGGAACATCAATTAGAATTTATAAATAGGTACAATATCATTTCCTAAAAACAATAATTTACAATCGTTTAATACTCTACTAAAGGGAAACATCACTCTTTCTTGTTTAATTCCCTATTGATCATTGTGTAAAGTAAACCGAGGGTTAAAGATGCCACTGCAGCTCCTTGGGCCCCTACTCGAAGGTGCATTAAATAAACGCTGGTGCTCATGCTGCCCCTATTTTTGAATGCGTACGCGCCATATGCCACTGCTGCCGAACAAACACCAATAGCTGAAATAAAAGACATTAAAATTAGTACTTTAAACTCAATCATTATGTTTTATCAACCAATATTTAAGTATTTAAGGTTATTTACAAAGTAGATAATTAAAAAAGTGCAGCGTAATATAATAACTTATGATAGATTTGATGACAATGAAAATTTATTCGTAAGAGTATTTAATTGTTCGAACCAAATGTTTTCAATATGGCATCTTATTGAAGGTTGTTTGTATTAGTAGAAATATTTAATAAGATCCTTACCGATAGGGAAAAATGGGGTTTCCCTAGATTTCCTAGCCAGACGACTCGAATGGCTTTCCTCTTCGTAAAAGATCCTTGACGGTTCAGCCATTGCTAAAAATACACCATTTAATAGCAAAATTTACAGCATACAACAAAGATTAGGTGCAGTTTAATAACGGGCGTAAAAAATTAAAAATTAAAAAAATTACTTACAATTAACAGACATTTTCAAAACTGGTGAAAATAATACAGATTACAGAAAAACCAAAAAACCAAACTAAACTAATGATCAGATGGTGCACAACAAACCTTTAATCTGCAATTAATATCTAATTTTAGTGAATTTGAAATTGACCTTGCGGATCACCGAATGGCAAGTGTCTAGGGCAACACAGGGAGGTGCGTAAAAGGACGAACTTTGGTTAATCGAACTCGGAGGAGATTTCCCATACATCACATGACAGATTTTCTGACGCAATGTTACGTCAATTCAGTCGATGATTCACCAATCACCATGAACCAATTTTATGCAATTTCATAAATTTTATCACGTCGTAATATTTCCATTAATCGACGAAAATATCATCTATTTGGAAAAAAATTTTCATAACGGAAAAGTCTTAGTCTTTTACTTAACGGAAATACAGCCACAAACGTCACTTGCCGAAAATCAATTTTCACAATATTTTATATAAATGAATTATTTATTGAAATTAACAAAATTTTTCAGCATTCCAGTAGTATTATTTCCAATTACATTATACATAAAACAAGAATGCAACGAAAAGAAGAATTTTTCAAGGTTACTAACGTCACAATTATTTTGAATTTGATGACATATCCCTTTAGAGGTTATTTGGAGTACGGATGAATGAGTATACTAAGAAAAATGTTTTCCAGCGGTGTTAGGCAGCTCAAAAACCTATCCAAATCGCCCGTAGAAGAAGTGAAAAGTATTCTGGATGGTATAGACGTCGTTTTGACCGATTGCGATGGCGTTTTGTGGTTGGAAAACGAGCCTATACAAGGTTCCGTAGAAGTGATAAACCGATTCAAAGAAATGGGCAAGAGAGTAATTTTCATTACGAACAATTCCACGAAAATACGCGAAGAATTCGCCACTAAATCCAAACGCCTCGGTTTCAACGTCGGAAAGGTAATCAAATGAATGTTATCCTCCTGGTAATAATAGCATTTCATACGCAGGAGGATATTTTATCTACCTCGTACTTGGCGGTGTCCTATTTAAAAAACAAAGGTTTCAACAAAAAAGTGTACGTAGTCGGTTCGCGAGGACTGACCCAGGAACTGGAACAAGCCGGAATAAAACATTGCGGAGTCGGAGTAAGTGTGGAAACGATTGTACGATTAACGAGATTAACAAACAATTCGTAGCCCGACGTCTTGCAAAGCAACCTGAAGGACGCCATAGACGGCTTCAAGCCGGACCCCGACGTCGGGGCCGTTATCGTGGGATTCGACGAGCACTTTTCCTACCAGAAACTCATGAAAGCCGCCACTTATTTGAACCGACCGGGTTGCATTTTCATCGGAACGAACACCGATGAGAGGTTTCCGATGGACTCGAGCATTATAGTCCCCGGCACGGGGGCCATTGTTCGAAGCGTCGAGACTGTAGCCCAAAGGGATGCTTTCGTTGTGGGTAAACCGCATCCGTATATCGCAGAAGCCATTATGACTGAGTATGGAATCGATCCGAAGAAAACGATCATGATTGGCGATAGGTATTAATGTTTTTATAGTCTCTATTAGAGTGTAATGATAATAAATTGGGTTTTAGATGTAATACGGACATTTTGTTGGGTACTCGATGCGGGTTCCAGACTCTGTTGGTTCTAACAGGAGTGACGACTTTAAAAGAAGTTACCGAATGGAAAAATTCTAATAAAAAAGAGGAACAGGAATTGGTGCCAGATTACTACTTAGACAAATTAGGAGATCTATTAAAATTTATGAAGTAAATAAATTTATTAAATAACTTATATTTTTTGAAGTAATAAAACAATTACAATTTACACAGCGAAAGTTATCAAATTCAAGTAAAACGAATATAAAGATAACAACATTTAATTGATTATTACCCGATTATCTTGGTATAGAAAAATATGATAAATTTATTATCAAATATATCACAATTGTATTGCATACAAAACAAGGCACGTCTTATGAAAAACTATGTACATATGATCGTTAGTCTACGATAAAATAAAAGATGATTTTTCAGCTGTTATACATGCCTTCGATTAGGAAATCCATTCGTCTATAATTTCTATGCTGCCACCAATCCTTGCCCCTTTTATACAACACTGAAAGGATAATGGCAACGAGCGGCACTGACAAGATAACTGCTACAATCGGCACTATGTAATCGGCTCTTCTCACTTTCTTATCCATTTTGGGGTCTATGATATGATCGGTGTTTGGGCTATGTAAAACGGCATCGGATTTTACCATTGCAGGTACACCTTCATCGTGTTCTGTATATGTAGGTTTTTTCGGTTTAATTGTTACTGGTACTACAGCTGCTTTATGAGTATTTGAAGTATTTGTTTTGTTGAAAGGCATCGCAGGTTTGGAAGTTTTGTTTACAATACTTGGGTTTGTCGATGGAGCAACGAGTGGTTTTACCACAATCGATGTAGTCTTGTTTTTGTCATGGCTGTCCAAAGTGATCACACCTTCTCTGCCCTTATGAGTCCCGTTGATAATATTAGCTGTTTGGTTATGAATTTTAGCTGCCACTGTTGTATTAGAACCATTGTTCGTCTTAATTGATGTGGTGTTTAAGGCGCTTGAAGCGAGACTAATAACTGTTACTGTTAGTATTTGATAGAGAAGTATGTTGGATAATTGTGCCATTTCATTACAACTAATTTAGTTTATTTACACAGTAAAAATTAACGAATTAGGAGGCGTTTATTCCTAAACCATATGGGGTCAACTTTTAATGACAGTGACAGTAGTGACACAAATCATATGATAAATGTCAAATTTTCAGAGGTATTCTACTTTTTTATTAAACTGTAAACGATATATGTAGAAGTTCAATATTTTGAAATATACATTTTATAGGTTATAATAATATGAATTTTGATAATAAATGTCTTAATAAATTTAAGTTTTTCATGTATTGATATTAGTAATTTTAAATGGAATTGCGCGAATCACGAAATGGACACGTTTGTATATTCACTTTTCAATATTCCGTGACGATTAGTTGATTCAACAACTGTAAAAACTTTCCCATTTTGGCCTAAATTTTCATCAAGTTGGAATTATTCAGATAACGATGGCGTTTTATTTCTTTAACGATGAGAAAATGTAAGTTTTTACCTGATTTTCATACAAAATAATTTTGTATTATTTTTGCACGAGTAATTGTTTTAACAAAATTGCAAATGTACCTTGTATTAAATATCTAAAATACCATGCAATTTAAAAAGGACTAATAAAATATTCGCAATTACATTTCAATACCGTTTGTTCGATTCAAATTTTTATTGGAGATACTTTTTAAATTATTTTCTCACTTCCAATCACTTTTGCCAATTGCTCGAGACAGGAAAATATAATCTAATAAAACAATGTAAATATTTATCCCCTAAACAAAATTTCAATACACGCCGATGGTTTATTTTGAAACAGATAAGAAGTGAGTTTTTAAGTGGAATTCAGAGATTTTTAAACGTTTGCTACCGATTTTATCAATAAATTGTTAACAGTAACTAAGAACTTTTAAATCATTCATTGGTAAGAAAATTAAAATTTTTGTGATATGTGCGATTCATAAAGCATACTTTAATTACATACCTATTTATCGGATGATTTTTTAAACCTCCTTAAACTTTATTCCATTTGATTCAGGTCGATTTCATCGAAGGCAATCGAATTAATCGGAGACATGATCGACCGGCACCGGGGCAGCTTCAACCTCGTGAAGTTTTACTTCATCGGCAACACCGCCGCCGTCTTCATGGGGGCCCTGCTGATGTCCTTCTGGGGCGAGTCCCTGCCGCACATCGGCCGGCTGATCCGGTACGGCCGAACGGGCAGAGGCACTCGCGACATCTGGGGCTTCAACATCCCCAAATCCAGATTCAGGCATTTCTACATCGTCGCTACCATCGTATTCACCGTCATCCTCTGTCACGTCACTTGCTTCTATGTATTCGGATTCAAAGTGCCTAGTTTTTATATGGATTTCATCGAGTCGATCACCCATCCTAACCGGAAAGTACACGGTAGCTTTATTGAATTTGTTATAGTAAAATTTGTGTACTTTATTGGTTATTTTTTGTAGTGAGTGCTACCCACGCCTACGTAGCTATTCTGTTACTGACATTGCAAGTGTTCAGGAGATTCTACGATACTCATTATGTATCGGTGTTTGGGCTGAAAAGCAGAATGAACATCTTCCATTATATTGTAGGGATGACCTATTACATATTCTTACCGTTTGCGGTCATCAGCGAGGCTCCGAAATTCGTGAAGAACGGTGAGATTTTTAATTATTTATTGGCTTGGTGTTAGAACGATTGTTTCAGAAACGAAACCCAGCAGTGGAGATATCGATTTTTCTGTGCTAACCGGCTGGGATTATGTCGCTATCGTGGTGTTCTTGTGGGCTTGGTGGCACCAGTACGTGTCTTTCAAGATTTTGGCCGCTCTGCGGAAGAACCGACAAGGTAAAACATTAGTTTCTCTATTTATTTCAATATTATAATCTATTTATTTAAAGGTGAAGTAGTAACGAACGCGTACGATTTGCCTTGCGGGGATTGGTTCGAATATCTCTCTTGTCCACCGCAAGTCGCTGAAATATTAATGTACTCCTGCTTGACTATCCTCTTACTTCATAACGTTACGTGGAGATACGCTTACTTGTGGGTGTGCACAAATCAGGTAAAAATTGTATAATAACAAGGGTAAGGTGAGAAGTTCTTGGCCTGGCAACGAAAGACCGCGATTGTTCTTTTTATTAACTCGACATTTTTAGTTCGAGACTGTTCTAAATGGTTCTAAAGCGTCCTAAATGGTTTTAGACAATTCTAATTGATTCTGGTGTGTTCTAGATAGTTCTGAATGATTCAGGTCGGGAAGTTTTCACCCTACCCTCGTAAATTATCAAATTTTACAATAAAAAAGATTTATAACTAAACATTGTTTCTAGATGATAACAATTATCTTTAGTCATCAATGGTACAAAAGCAGGTTCCAGAGATATTACCCGGAAGAGAGGAAACTTTTGATTCCTTTTATTTATTAATCGGCGCTAATTATTTGGATTGTTTTTAATTTAAGTTAGATTAGTGGCTAGTCTTTATTTTAATTTGTTTACGATGATTTTACGCCTTTATTAGTGAGAGGTTGCGTTTTTATACATTTGTATATCTATTTAAATTCCGATTAAATTTATTCTGAAAGTGTAAATTTAATCGAAGATTTAAATCTAGTGCGTTGGAATTAAAAATTTGTGTTAATTTATAAATTCAATTTAATCGGCAAATTTGTTAAAATCTAATGCGATAAATTTAAAATTATTAATAATACAACTTATATTTTCAAATATTTTGATACAAGGCTGTAAATTTAATAATTATTTTTTATATTTGTATTGTAAACCATTTTGTAATTAACAAAGGATGTAATTTGTTCAAAATTGAATTTTATTTATTTAGTCCAAACCTTTTTTTAATAAGGTTACTTACCCGAGTTGAATAAATTTAGCAAAGAATAATGTTGAAAAGATAATAATTAATTTAATGTTTTTTATTTTTCTCACTCTTAAAAGGTCCTAAAAAAAGCGGTATTTTACAGTTTGGTTAAATGTGTTTACAATCAAATAATTTAGTGAAAAATTACTTTTTACAAATAATATCAAAATTTTTCAACATGATATTGCCAATTCGTAATAAACAAGTTCACAATCCGACTTATACATTGATGCGATAAACTATCGAGTCGAATTCATCCGATTCTTGATTTCGTATCAAAAAAGAAGGAATAAATACAAAATCGACGAACAACCACCGAAAATTGACTCGAAACAACTATGAAATCGATTCTATTACTGACACAATATCACACCAAATTCCCGTTATCTTCTATAAAATCGAATTCGTAAGCAATACAAATTATCTTCTCTATACAAAATAACCAACAAGTTCATTATTATATTAAATTTTTTTTTGATAGGGAAAAAAACTACCGGACCTAGACGAGTTCAAATAAAATTAAATTTGATATAAAACACCATTGGTTAAAGTTCACTGTTTTTAACTGTTAATACACCCTTCGAAATGATATAATTACTGCGGCGCGGTCGCCATCAGTTGCTGTCCTGCTCCTGCACGTGATTGGCTTCGTTACTGTTGATGGCCTCCACCTTCGCAGAAGGCGGCTTAAACGCCGCCGAATACGGAAACACGCCGTTGCATTTCTTCGTGAATTCATCTAATTGAGCGTCGCAACTGCCGAATTCGCCGGCTCTAAGGGAATTCAGGACATTTGTACAAACCTGCAATTTCGTTAAATATTTCCCAATTAGATCTATTTGCGCGTATTTGTCGATTCGAATCACTTACATCAATATTTACATCGTATTTATTGTCCAAATCGGTGGCCAAACTGATGGCTTCGCGCTGCCTCTTATTGTCCAATTGGTACATGACTTTCGCTCCCTCGAGCACCGCCTGCAGGCTATTCGAGTTGTTCTCCAAAAATTCCTTATTTAATCTATAAGCATCCTTGTTGTCGAAGTAAACTTTGGTCTCCTGTGCTATCACCTTAAAAAAAAACGAGAATTAAAACCGCCATATTTTATTAATGAAGAACAAATCAAATCACCTGCTCAACACTGGGGTCCCACGAGCCTTTGTTTTCTTGTATGAATCGGTTGAAACGGATAAGACAGCTGTGCAATTTCGGGTTCTTCGGGTCCACTATGTAAGCCCTCTTTATGGATTGCAGCATTAGAAGAACTCGTCCTGTAGAAAATAATCATTTTGTTATACGGGTAAGTACAAATTTGTTAGCAACATAGTGAATGTATGAGTTGAACAAAGAACGATTATTAAAATAACAGCGGGTTAGAATGAGAAAGTTGCAATCCCGCAATATCATCACCCTTTCCTTTTCCTTTATAAGTGTCTAACGGAAGTTGTCTTTGTTGTACTCATAGACACCATATTTTGTACATTTTGTAATTATTAGTAATTATTAGTGCACGTACTTTTCCTATAATACAACTCGAACGCCATCAAATGCGTTTCTATTCTGTCTTTGGCTAATGTTTGCAAGGGTTGAAGGAATTTTATCGCCTGCTCCAAAGGATCATCAACCTGAAATATTCCTTACATTAAAATTCATACTAAATAGATGAAGTTATCTTCAATACACATCAAGTAAACTCGGCAGTGACGTCACTACTCGGCTAAAAAGCTCCTATTGGCTGATTAAATCAAAATCCAGCAATCTGATTGGCTCAACTCGACGACGTCACATTCGAGAACAATGTTCTTTTTGCGCTCTAATTTATGTTTAATTCGGTTTAATACGTACCCTAGCAAGTTTATCGGGCACGAGCTCGTCGAGCTGGGGCGTGTCGGCCTCGACGTCGCCCTGCTGCCGCGACTTGTGGTGCTGGTCCTTCTTCACCTGCGCCTCCCGCTGTTGGGCGCTCTCCTGTTCGGCCTTCCTGCGCGCCTTCCTCTGCTTGTTGCGCAGCTTCTTCAACTCCGACGGCGCCAGGTTCTCTGGAACAGACAAAAACGAACGCTCGATTATAAAGCGAAAAGGATCTTTTGGTCGAGTTAACAATCAAGTTGACTGTCGAAAATAATGCCAAATGTCAATATTTTAGTTAGCGTTAGTTAATTGAAGTTAGCGTCTAATTGTCAAGTTGACAGGTGGAACCGCCATGTTGAATAAATGTTAAAAATGTAGATGGTGAAGTTAGAATCAAACTGTCAATTGATAGGCGCTGTCATAAATGTGGAAAACTATAACTCGATAAATTTTTTTATTCGTTTCGAAAAAACAATCCCTCTGAGAAGCTTTCGGTTATTGGTGAGTTATAAATTGGTTATAATCGTGACTACTGATATGTGCAATATCACTCTTATCAACAAATGCGCAACCTGCGAGAAAGTACGGACAATATTCATGCCTACTTGATCGTTTTTTTGTGATTTTTACCAACCGGCGAATGCTCAACGGTCGCGTGTACTTATCTGTACTGCTTTGGATACTTTCATATACTGGGTGTCCGGGAACTGGATATTAAAAAATATTAGAATTGATTCAATTATATGTCATACACGATTACTAGATGTTTCTAACATAATAAGTCAATATCTAATTTTGTAACCCCGTGAATTGATTGTCCTGTGATCAACAATATTGACATGTTGTAACGTCAAAATTGGTTTCCATTGAAACGTCCTGTTTGAAGTTTGCAACGAATAATTAAAAATACCGTCTATTTTGAGTTTTTTAGTTATAGAGACATCCTGTATATAATATATTTTTTTTCGGTTGGTTGTTTTAAAGAATCGCTTCGGGCGAAGGTTGGAACGCTTCGACCAAGACGGGCAAGAGTTGTAACTTTCACTTAACTGGAGCACGTTACGATTACGTTTTATACGTTTAGTAAATTCTAATGGTAATTTAAAGGGATGACCGTAGAATAAAGTACCTATTATAATTCAGCGTTAACTTTATATACGTAGATCGCAATTTTATTTTATATCTCGAATCGAATTTCCTGTAATTAAAAGAAGAAATTTTTCATCGCGGTAGCGCTAGTCGATAATTTACTAATATCCGTATTTACGGCGGAGAGAATCTGCTCCCGAATCACCGCAAATTGCTCTATTTGATGCAACATGTAATTACATCGGTCAATAGCGCCTCTTTTTTATTAATAACTATTCGTGAAAGTTGCGAAAAGTTCATCGCACGTAAATCCTTAATTGAAATTCGCACATATTAAAATGTAAAAATCGTCCATCACACCAGCGCAATATCAAAGTCTTTGCGAAGTCACTGTATACGACAAACAAACATATTTCAGCGATATTCGAATGCACTAAGGTGGATACGATTTGCGCAAAAAATGTATCCATTACCGCAGACATTTATTATACGGCAAACGATTTCCTAATGCGAAATAAACGTTCGAGAAATGAACGAAGGAGATAAAATTTTTGGGCGTGGGCGTCGATTGAAATTGCGACCGTTCTATTGTAATTGGATCGTGCCAATACTGTCCTCAATAAACGCATTGTTTTGTCAATACTATTTAATACTTAATGTTTTAATATCGTTTGCCTCACCCATTGATAGTTCAATGTTAATTAGAGTTGGGAGTCGATTAAAATTTCTTTTCGGCAGCGGGGTAAAAGATAATGGTCGCAATTTTCGGACGCCCCGGGAACAATATAAGTTCATATTCGAAATGTTCGCGAGTCTGGCACGTTCTCGACAAGGCGAGGCGGGGTCCCATTTTCCTATCGCGGTTTTCGATCGACCTTGATCCGTACACGAAGCAATAACCGTATCGGACGCCTTCTTCGACATGGAACTAGGCCGATCTAATTTGCCTAGCAAAAATTAAAATCCTAAAGAAATTCCTCAATCTTTCGCCTTCGAAGAATTATATCAGAGATACGATTTTTTCGATATAAGGAAATTTGGCGGATGTGCCAAGTGTCTCCACCAATTTATTAAAACCCCTTACAACTTGATCCTAGGAATAAAATTTTCCCGGTAACTACAGTTATTCAATAGAACCACGTAATCGACAATTTCGAAATCGCCCTGCAAAAGCAATCGATGGCTTTATTTATATTACAAAACGGATATAAACCGACGAAAATTAATTCCAGTAATTTTATCATTAGCGTTTTAATTACGAAACCGCTGCCATCACGAAATAGGCATAATTTCAGTTATTAAAAGCGGTTCTGGTAAAAAAATTCATAACTGTACCGATTCAAAATCGACGAAAATTACTCATCGATCGTTGCGTTTTATATTGCTCAAGGAACAAGAATTAATTGCTCAATTAATCGGTACTGAAAAACGGATTTTCGCGGAAGAAAATTTCTCGTAGAAACTGCAAATTAATTATACAGGAAGTTTTTTATAAATATTTTCGTAGGTGCACTGATTAATCGATTTGATTCACAAAAACTGATCCTGTTACAAATTATAATCGCCTATACGTATAATATCTTTTAACGTTAGATTAATCGTTATAGTTTTACTTTTTAATACGAAAGGTGCGGTCATTTTGTTTCAAGGTTTCTGTTGCTCATACCTCAATTATTATTTACCTCATAGAAACGTACTTTTTGCCATTAAACAATTTCTTCTATGCACTACAATAAAGGTGCAAAATTTAATAAAGAAACGATTTCCTCGATGTCCCTTTAAGTACCATTGTAAGTATCTAACATTTTAGTAAAAGGCCAGTAGTAAATTCCACAGCTCGCTTCGATCATGACAATTTTCTCGGTTGTGAACGATATAAAAATAGAGTGCAACATTAATGTATACTGAACAATTTATTTGAATATAAATAGCTAAAAAATACACCATTTAACGCGGATTATACAATGATAAATTAATCGCCTGCGGGGTTTATACAGATACACAACGTTAAACAACGCGTAAACTCGGGAATAATTCTTTTCTTGTATTTTTTTTCGTTATTGTAAAAGCACATTAATTATTCTACAAATGGATAAATTATAGAAGTCGTTCGTTATGTAAGGCCCGTAATTTATGTATTATTCGTTCAATACAGATCGCAGAAAAATTGTTGCGCTAATAACATTTGCATTCGTTATAATATCACATTTCGCGAAAAAAAAAACGATAATACCAACAATAGACTATTGATTTATAGGTGTTTGGGAAACATCTATCATTTAAATATAATGAGACATAAAATGCTGATGCTATTTTCTACCTACGTTTTATAAATACACTAAAATAATAATTGTTTAAAGATGTGTCTTAGTTTATATTAAATTTTATAAGCAAAGCATGATTTAGGGAGTTTTCAATGTATTTTTTGATATACAAAATAAGCGCGAAATGGCAATGGATCTTAAAGAAGGGAATTTAAATTGTGGGTTATTATTTTTTTACTTAACGAAAAAGTTATATTTTTTATCATTTTCTGGTTAAGCATGATTTAGAAACTTTTCGATGTATTTTTTAATACAAAATAAGCGCTTAAATTATTTGCGAAATCATTTCCAATATAGGTACAAAGTATGTGAACAAATGGGGGTATTGTGGGTTGATTGCAACTTTTTCACTCTAACCACTATTATTTTAATACTGTTTCTTTGTTCAATCCATAAAATAGACCATATTCCAAACAAATTTGCATTTAATGCACAACCACTTAATCAAAAAGTATACTATAGCAACAATTAATTAAAATAAACGCGTTCGCTTCACACTAAGAACTTCCTACGCCTTTAAACGCCACCATCAATATATCTCTACATGCATAAATTATGTATAAAAAATAACGAATTAACGGCGTTTAGCTCCTATCAACGAGTATGTTAACACCGCCCATTAATAATTTCAGGGTCGCCCCGAAACCGAACTTCTCGTTTGTAATTTGCACGCGAATAAACAAAGGAGGAAGAGCGCTCGCGTTCTCGTTATGTCACAAGTTGAACTAGAAATAAGCGATGTGTAAAAATCGTGTCAAAATGGGATGTATTTTTTTCGTATTCTTAATGTAATAGGTACCCCGAGTTGCATTTCGAAAACTTTCACTTCGGCATTAAATTAATAACGTTTTATTATAACGTTTGCCGAATGCACGCTGTGCATTTTGTGATTTACAACGCCGATATGGACTGCGTTTAAATGCGGATAATAATTCATTTGAGTTTTTTTTTTCAATTGAATTTCGTCTAATTGAAGCGCAATTCTTCTTTGATGCAAAAGTTAAAAGTGGTTTTATATTCGACTTTTCACGGATTTCGTGTCCATCGGTAATTAATCGCCTGGTCGTGTCACTATTGTCCCTGAGACAATGTTGCAATCGCTTCATTTTGTGATGCAAATTCCAAAAAAAAAGTATAAATAAAAACACTCACATTTGTATTGTACACTTTTAAGGAAAGTTTGTCATTAACATGTAAAAGTGAGCAACGAAACAGGTGAAATTGTGTTATATTTAACATATTTTTTGCGACTTATCTTATAGGTGCAATAAGTGTAATATTTTGTTGCTCAACATGCATATTGTTATTGTGTTATTCTCACGAGACATGTAGAAGATCTAATGTTAATATATTAATCAAATTAACCTTAAAACGCGATGTGTTAAAATAATATCAAATAATAGTTCGAATCGAGCGGCCTTTACCTGCTTTGTCATTAACGCATTCTTATATTTCGATTGCATAACGACTCGTTAATAATAAAATACGTTTTGTGTGAATAAATCCAATAAAATGTGCGTAAAATTTTGAACGAAAAAAAAAAAGCGAAAATTTTAATGCGCAATAACTAATTCAGCAGCTATCCAAGCAATCCTTGTTTTTTAGAAAACAAAAAAAAAACAACAGGCATTTCTGACGTTATTGACATTTAAATCGCATAAGATAAACTACTAAAATCGTGACAAATACCAATAAAATCGGAATTCTCTTAAATATCCTTCAATCCCAAGCCAAGCATGCCAAAGACCGATCACGAAGAATTTTGAAAAAAAAAAATATATATACAGGGCGTCATATTGCACAAAAAACAAATCCTATTTATAATACGAATACCCCAATAAAAATACACTTTTCCCACGTACTTATGAGAAAGAAAATTATGATAGAAAATTTTTGTTTTTCTAAAATTTTAACACCCTGTAGCTCGAAAACTAAGAGGTTTAGGACATACATTGATATAAACTTTTCTTCTTAAATTCAACCAAATATTCACATCCTGAATTATCGGCATACAATTAATTAACATCCTTTAGTTAGAACAAAATTTGTGCGAAAAATTTAGATTTTGCAAAAGTTGCGCAACAATTTTCATCTCAAATTTTGTCAAAGATGCACCTACCCTAAAGTATACTTAATAAAACACCCTGTATATATCCAAACAAAGAGAGCTTGTCGCGACAAGACGCGCAGTCGAGGATACACCGCGCATCTTCTATTCGAAGGATAATTCACAATTCACCATCACCATCACGCTCTCGCGTCTCCGATGCCATCGATTGCACTTCCAAACGTTAACGTAACGAACGCAACGGCATAAATCACGGGATTCCGATCCGAAGGTGATGAACTTGTAATCTTTTAAAGGTTATTTTCGGTCGTCTAACCGTTTATACTTGGCGTGCACGAAGATCGAAAGAGCGACTTAATCTTCGTATAAATAAAGGAGTTTTTTTTTGTAATAAAAATATTGTTTTACTCTATTCAAAGTATTTTCATGCACAAAATCTCTTTCAATATAATTATAAAAATTAGATTTACCCACCCCCAACATCCAACTCTAATCTACTCCGAATCTACTCTACTCTGCTTTACTTTACTTTACTCAATTCTACTCAACTCGATCATTGCTCAGATTTTTAAAACAACCCCAAAAAATATCAATTTCTTTGAAAATTTGCAATCTACCTATAGTAATAAAACACCCATTTAAGCTCTTAGATAATAAAATATATTTCTGTCCTAATTTACCGACGCCGAATTCTTCTCATATTAATTCAATTTCCTCGTAATTGGTTGAGTACAGGTATGGTGCTAATTCAACAGCGATCCTTGACATAATTTCGCGCGTTGGTAAAAATTACCAGTCGAGTACGTTTTAACCACTAAAGGCTGGTCAATAACAGGTAGACAGTAAACATTTTAGCCAGAGCTCTTTCTAAAATTCAAACGCCCCGCGGAGAACGGAATAAATTGCCCTTTATCAAAGTCTAGAAAGTTGCGAACAATTGCACTAAATCGTTAGAACAGGGACAAATTTAATCCGGAATCCAGATTGGATAAAACATCAGAAGAGCTGTGATGCACTTGGAATGAATAAAAATATACTTTGAAATCTTTTGTACACTAAACAACATCTTTAGCTAGTTTCTTGTCAATTCGCCGTTATAATTTCCTCAATTGTTCCTTGAAATTCGCCAATTAAAGCGAACCGATCGAGTGCAAATCGTACGTTACCGTTGCAGTTTTACTCTCACTTTTATTTTTGTTATTATTATTTTTCCATCAACCTTCGAATTGGGTGCGGTCGTCGCCGATCTATCTCAATTTCTTGAAATGCCGGGTTTATATCGTGGCTAGATTGTATTTCGCTTGGCATTAGAGAAATACACGGGGTCGCGATTCCGAGAATACCTTGTGCGAATCCGATTTTTAATAAAATCCTGATTTATCTGTATAGAAACAGTACCGTTTGTGTATCTACAAATTATACACCAGATTGCATAGATTTAACGAACCTCTGGTTAACCAATCAATGTTTAATAGACATGAATACCTAATGAAATTAGAGGACACTTGTTAATTAAAACATCAAAATATTTACTATCGCATTCAACATTATTTATACATTTGATGGATAGCGCTGCAAGTCGATTTCAGCATGCAGCGTTAAATTCGTTGAAAAGGAAGTACGGAGATATTTCCCCGCGAAACCGAGCCTTCGGCTATAGCGTTACATGTATCATGTTTGCAATGACCAACAGAACGTGACACAGATTGAAATACGGTAAGTAGCTGGGCGTTTTCCGTCGAGACTTTTTTCATGTTTCAATTCACCGATTAATCCTAACAGTAATTCTCTGTAACGAATCGAATACAGCAACATTTGGAATACTAACAGACCGTTCTGGTTTCCTATGCAAAGTGCCCAAAACATTTTCTAATCGGGTCAAGAACTTATCAGCCTCTTTATAAATCATTACTTGCGTTAATTAATTACTTATGAAAGAAAATGTATATCCCATTGTCGATTAGTTTCACTTAATTTGGCGCTTTAACAGCGATTGTGAATCATAAAGGGGCGAAAATACACGGTGAATTAACCGGTGGGAATGTTTGCGAAGAAGTTCTGGGCGATGGTGCGATAATATCGTCGTGCAACAATTAAAAATCCCGCGTACGCAATTAGACAAGGTCGCAGGTCAAAATACAATGAATAAATTAATCGGGGGGAAAAGAGCGTATGAATGATGGCGATTTGGTAACGAGGGTTTTGTAAGATTTTTTCAAGAACAAGAGAACAAATTGTTCTCTATTAAAATATTGTATTATCTCGTTTCGGCTTAAATTATTTTTAGTTGGCCAGTTAATTAACGAAAGTTTTATTCGATATTAGATCATCAATCTCAATTAGATAAGTGTTTAATTTCCACTTGGCTAAAATAAAAATCAAGCGTACAATTAGTCTACAGTCTACACCTACATTAATTGGCGGTGTTTTCATTTCGAAGTGTTAAATGTAAAGCGCAAAATGATCGTTTTCGACAATATTCGAGCGGAATTCGCCGCGCCCTTTCGTTTAGGCTCAGTTTTCGTGCGCTTTGTTCTAATCAAGGTTCCCCAGAACCAAACGTAAGGTCGAATGAAATGCTCTCGTTCGAAACGTAGACGGTGAAATATTTTAATATTTCAATGCAACTGGCTCTCTCGACTCGTTGTATAACCAGAAATTAAGACTAATAGGAGGAAAACTGGCCGCTATCTGGGGTTTTAATCGAGCCCGAAATGCACGTCTCATTAGTATTAAAGGATAACGAAATTTTTGTTCCTGCGATGAATCAGAGCTGTTGTGATGAAACCGTACGAGTCTTTTTTCACTAGACTTTCGACAATGAAAATTAAGGCTTTTGAATCGAATCGATCCGGTCACGTTTTCGGCACACGATCAACCGGTTAAAGTTAACGACTCAATCCCAAATTGAATTTCGGTAACGCGCAATCAATCAATTGACGCCAGATAGAAATAAATAGGCCTAAAACAACGCTGGAATTTCACATGAAACTCGTACGAATTTCTGAAATCAATGCAAATTCTTGAATAGAAATCATAAATCGTAATTAACAGGATATCCTCGGTATTTTTGTACCCATACGAAGCCGTTTTCACTGTTATTTATCATTCATTATCTGCTAACCGGTGCCCATTAAACTGCGAATTTTCTCTATAATTGTAAGTACAACACACATCAATCGAAAAATTTAATTGCGTTAGCATTTAAGAGAAACGGACGGACGCATTGCGGAGCACAAAAGCCCATCTCAACGATAATTATTAACTCTTTATTATTCGCTACTGATAATAATTCTTTGTTAAAAGTATATATTAGTGTTCAGAATTGATTCTTTTTGTTGCGATTATTATAAAAATTAATCATCAACACATCCAGAAGGAAAGTATGATTAGAAATAGGTTTAATAAATTGTAAAAATATTTTTAAAAATTAATCAAAGTCATATTTTATTAGTATAGAAAAATATACTGAAATTATAGTACTCTCTGAAGCGTTTCCTGCCGGCATTCCTGCCCATCCACGACTCACTACATTAATTACACCGCCATTTACCGAGATATTATATAAAAATATTATGCCAATTTTTTTATCCATATTACTCGTGCTTTTTCATTTAACCGACTCGCCGCTTTTCCTAATGCGCATTGTGCAAATGCCTATTGCTTGCTCTAATTAATCGCAATTTTTATGACTATATTTCGTTCGAATATCAATTGCGCAACAATTAAAAGTAACTCGCTAGAATTTTAATCGACTCGCATTTTCACTATTAAACATATTTTTTTTAATTCCACGTTAAGTAACGTTTGTTTTCGGCACTCGTCTATACGATTATTGCTTTAAACTTGCGTCTCATAAACTATTGAATTGATATAAAGCTTAAGTAACGAACAAATTATCAATCTTTAACTTATTACAAGCTACCAGCATAAGTAGAACCTTCAGGAGCAGGCATGAAGGTGTTAAAAAGACCTTGTTTTTTTTCTAAAAATTCGATGGATTTAATCGATCTTTTCGAGTGGGATTCCGGGAGTGCAACCGGAGCGGAGCACGTTGCTCGGCTGTGTGTTTGTGTGTGCGTTTTTATTTCAAACCGACCGCGGTCCGTGCACCAGCTCCGGGCTCCGGGGCTCCCACTACGGTTAGGCGAAGCCAGCGAGCGGCTCGCCGTGGATTTTTGATAGTGCAGTCGACGCTGAAACGCCGGAGTTCACGAAAACCCGGCGATATTTGGACGATACAAGGGTCGCGGTATTCGCCGAACGGGATTAGCAGGAAAGGAAGGGTTGGAATTTTCTCCCACAATTTGTGTTTGTGATTAGTGCGAATTTTTATTAGAGGATTATTTATGTTGTCGATTACGAGGATATCGAATATATTTCAAAGTAAGATTTTTGATTCATCCTGCACTTGATCGGAATTGACCAATGTATACGCAATGACAAGATGTCACCTAATTTTTTTCTTCTTCTCCGGCATGAGAACGCGTAAATTTTCCCATATTCCACTTAGCATTGTTTACCTATAACTAGGTTATTTTGTCAAGAGTACACAATTGGAAAAGCATGGGATTTTTTACGACAATATAAACGCGCATTATAAACATTAAAAATTATAAATAATAAGCGCGTATAAAATGTTCTTAATTGATTCATGAATATTAATGCCGCAGATAAAAATTAATTTACTATTGTAAATCCTGCGACATTGTTCCTTGCGGATTAGTAATAGGCTATTTGCTACTTCTAATAATTTCTTCAGCCGGATTCTCGAGACGTGGAAAATTTATTTTTTTATTAAAAAAAACAGGAAAATTTGCAGAAACATTCCCGAATAAGATTAAATTTTATTATTTTTTTCTATTTGCCTGGTACGTGCTCACTTTCTCATTTTACACCTATTTTCTATTGTTCCAATAATGTTGTAATCTCTAAACATAATAATGCGTAATATGCCCAAAAATTTTACATAAAAAAATGCAACATTTTTCCAACATTAGCCAATTTCGCAAAAAAACTAATTCAAATATTCACCGAGCATAACGCTTATCTTCTAAATCACTTACACCTATATAAAATCAATTCAATAATTATCGCATTGTTAATATTAAATCTGTTGATCTTAATAATAATGTTCTACATTTCTGTATGCATATAAAAAACCTTGTCAATTCGATGTAATATCGAATCTCCCAATCGCCGGGTAAATCGTACAATTATCGAAATGGGCTGGGTTTCGATTCTTATTATTATACCTCGAGCAGGTTACCGATACACTCCGCTGGGTTTTCGGTTGGTTATCGAATAAAATGAGAAAAGCCGAATGCAAAGTGCCTACATGGCGGGCGAGAGAGTGAATGAGTCCATTGAGAAAGTAGAAGTGTTCCATAAAACTAATACAAAAAAAATATTCTAATTAAATGCATGTAGAAAGGTGTATACATGCGTTTGTTTCGTACCTATACACATATTATTAAATTTGTCCATGTTTGGTTTGATTGTTTAATGTACCATGTCGAATAGGTTTGAGTTTTTATTGTTAGGCAAATTATTATGAGTAAAGAATTTTTGGTATAAATTCACAAAAGCTGGGAAACTCTTGATATTTCGCGCACAATCATAAATGACATTTCAATAAAAGATCCACCTCTATGCTCATTATAAATTGCTCGATTCATGACATTTTCAACGAGGCTGCGCTTCATGAATAAGTAATTAAAATTCGAAATCAATGAACCGAATTTTACGCAAAAAAACGTAAATACGCAACAACAAAAACAAAAACCCGCAGGAATTCCTGCACGCGACATCCAACTGTCGATTAAAAAAACATTAAAAGAGAAATTCAAATCCGCCGAACGCGATTCATTTTCCAAAAACTTACCATATCGAGATCGACTAGCGTTCGCCTTTTTCGCTATTTTCGCCTAATAAGCTGGCTGGATTAGAATTGTAAATGGCTCGATAATGCAATTATACGAATGAAGGAAAATATACAAGCAATGTCAAGGTTCCATAAGAACCGAAGAGGACCGGTCTATCAGTTACGAAACCGACGCGAGAGCTATCTAGGATGGACGGAAATTAATTACAAGACGATTAAAATGTTATGTTTGCGGTAATAATTAGAAGATGAAATCATCAATTATAATACAGGATTGTTATAATTGAATATAAAAAAAATTGGTGGAATATTTAGGCTAAATTCTTAATGTGTATCTAAGAAAATTTAGTCCAAATATCCCACTAAAAAATAGTATATGTATAGAAATTACTAGAGTATATATTACCAGCACAATTTTTAAAATTCCTAGCGTATACAATATGAAAATCTTAAATATGGATACCGTGCAAGTTCTCAATGCTCAACGAAGCGGAATTACCCGCCACGAATTAGTACAATTATTTTGAATTATAAGTAAATTAACGTGTCGTGATTTTATTATGAAAAAGAGGAAGAGTATATTTTATAAACGGGGAATTTCTCGAACCCGGATTCTTTATGTTTGTTCGATTTACAATTAAAATCAATTCGGAAAACCCATAAATCATCGACTGCTACGTTTCAGAGATAATTAAAAACAAACAAATCGATTAAATTCAATGGATTTCGAGGTAAATGCGATAAAATAAAACGTTAATGTCAATTCGAAATTATAATAGAAACATTTTCAGAACCATTTATTAATAAAACTTGCGATAAAAATTTACATATGAATAGAGAAGCGTGCATTTAATTTAAATCGCAAAATACTGGAATTATTATAAACGAAAATTCCTGGTACAACAAAAAGAAATAACGCTAATTTATCTGCTACAACTTTATTATTAGTTCCACCTATTATATATTCGATTTGTTCGTTTAAGTGAAAGGTCCCGATAACTGTCAATCACCGAAAAAAAAATCATTTAATCAAACTCCGACCGTAAACGTTGGCAACTAACAGAATTACGCCTTGTTAGAACTAATTCTACATATTATTCCGAAGCCTCGCCCGATTTCCAATCAGATTTACTCTAGTAAAAAAAATCTAATCGAATTCCGCGCGTCGAACGCCTCTCGAGAAGCTCCCATCGAATTTGCAAACAGTTTAATCACATAAATTGAAATATAGAGGCATTTTTAAATATGTTATGAAAAGAGCGATTTTAAATTTAAGGATTATGAAAAATCTAGTTCTAGACGTAATTATGCAGGCTAACTAACGTTCGAGCCAAGTGAATTTGCCCGATTATTAACCATCATTAAAGAAATCACCGGCCGTAAATACTTTCATTGTTGTTGATAATATTACTTAGTTATACTTTTTTGTTATTCAATTCGTGAAATAAATAAATAGACGAGCACAATACATAACGATTTTTCCTCGAAATAATGTCGCAACCGCGTTTCCATTATACTTGCAAGAAGCAAAAAAACATAATCCATTCATTTTTTGACTAATTAACCGTTTGTTCCGACTAATTAGACGGATTTTTAGCATTATTGCATTACGCGTATAGTTGTGTAACGACAGAAAAAATAATTCGGAGCAAAAACGATGAAAAATTGTAAATTCTAACGAATATATGTTTTATACACAAGGTTAAATTATCCATGACAAAATAGCCAAGAATGTAGACCTCGCGGAGATCTTGCATTACATTAAACGATCAACTTCCTGCTTCAAGAGCATGTAAATCGTCGCGTCAATTTCGCTTCAGGTGGGAAAAAACACCAATTTTTCGAACGCAAAAAAAACACTCAAAAACGCGACATAATTAATTTTACGTTCGATTGCGCTAAACGATCGAACAGGCGCGTCGATTGTAAAGGAAATTATCTCGACTTACCTCCTACGACTATTCCATTGACTAATAAAATAAGTATAGGAGGAAAAAAAATTCATATCCTCTTCGAGGAGGCGGCTCTGCCCCCGTACTGTATAATTTTTCATCGACTTGCGAAATAATTTATGCCTTCTAAAAGCTACTTTCAGTTACTGTCACGCCGTAATAACCGATCAAAAGTACCGAGTTCAATGAATGAATTAATTCTTTTTGAGATATGCTCTGTATAAAATTCTATCATTTATTTATACACCCGGTATTTCGTATAAGAATGCGAATAAGATGCGATAAAAATATAATACATTAGAGAGCACACAATAGAATTATTTAAATTAAGAGCCATATTAGATTCCACTGTAATCAAACATTAGCATATGCCATTTGCATAATTTCCATTTTCCATATCGATATTGCCATTCAGGATAAAGCATGTTATTTGAAGTTAATGATATTGCATTTAGTTCCATTAGTATCCGATGCGATATAGTAAAAAGAAAAACCGTGACTGCATGTCGTAAGAGTAAGAGGACATTTTAAAGAAAATCGGAACCTTCTCCGCGATATCATCATTTTCCAGCTAATTAAATAAACATTCGCGACTAACCATGAAAATGCTTAAAGGTTAGATGAAATTTCGTACGGGAAAAACGCCAAACAATAAAACAATTTGGTCGATTTAAAAGGCATTTTCGCACACCTAAATCATGGTTGGTGATCGGTGTGTCTCAACGACAAAAGACAATGGGAATGCATACCAAAGCACCAACCTTGTCGAATGCTTTTCTCTTTAAAAAGGGGAAGGTAAAGTGATGGATGCAAAACGCGCCTACGCGCGCTTATAGGTGCAATAATTTCGTGCATATTTACGATGTTCTATCACTCTCGATATTACACCTGGCGCTGTAAATAGAGCATTAAAGCACCGTTCGATCTATGCAAACGACTCCAACGCGGCTGACAATACACCGTAAAAATCGGTTTGGAGAAATGAATGCAACGATTTTTATGTAAACAGCGCCGGTTGCGCTAACATTATTTACAAACTCCAACGAACGATTATGAGAAGGACGTATTTTTTAGCAGATTGCTGCACTTCCCCTTTTTCACATACGTTTAAGCAATATTTACGCACACTAACGTGGAAAATGTTAATTACGCTAATGCGAAACACCACGCGAACACCACTTTTCTTTATATTTATACGTTATTCATTCGCAAATGGTGTAGAATAATAAAATATAGTTCATTCGCACTCAAATACAGTTCATTTGCACTGTAGCAAATTTACACTGAAGGTATTGCAGAAGAAAGTAAAATAGAGTAGAGTAGTGTAGTTTTTTTTAATTCTCAGAATAATCATTGGCGATAGTTATTTTCTTAGGACACTTTGAGCTCAGGTCAATTTAGTGCAATTGACTCGAATTCTGGTAGAAATTGATCATTTACAATCATCAGAAATAAATACACTTTTAATCCAAAACCAGGCAACGTAATTTCAGCGAATATATTCACAAATCAATTCTGTACAAATTCCGTTAAATTTTTTTTCTTTCAGATGTCCGGTTTCCGCGTGCTATTACTACTAGTAATAGCTCTAACGATAGCCACGGCAAGAGAAAAACCCAATAAATCGACCGGCCTAATTACGAATCACCTGAGAGCCGTTAATCCCGAATTCGATGACGCCGAATACATGAAATTCGAAGCGTCCGCTAACGGTAAAACGATCGCCAAAAACGCCAACAAGAAGGAGATTAAGGCTAGAGCGAGCGACGATGACAAGCCGAAGACGTTATCGCAACAAATTGCGGACGGTAAAATTAATTAACATTTCACGTTTCTATCGGGATTTAATTACGTTCCGTTTGTATAGGCAAATACGGTCTCATACACAAGGAACTGTTCAGCAAACCGCCCAAGAGACCGAACGTAATAAGTTACGATTTCAATCCGGAAGTGCCAAACGATACGATAAACAATTTAGGAGGTTTAGATAAAAACGAGATATGGCTGGCCGAGAACCATTTGCTGGTACTGAGAGGCGGCAGTTTTCCGCCACACGACGACAAGCAGGATAATAACGAATCACCTTGGGCGCCGTTGGATAATTTCAAAGCACCGTTACATCAGGTATGGCATTTAGTATAATGTACTCGATAAGAGAACGAACGATTTAAATATAATTTCCAGGTGAAAATACCAAAAAATCCGAAAGTGCCGCCGCCCTTTCCTGTCCAGCTCACCGAAAACGGGCCGCTCCAAATCCTGGGCACAAACTTTACGCGAACGATTAATGGAACGTACCAAGATGCCCTCGACTCTATACCGCCCCCCGAAGGTTACCCACCGTTCGACGCGCCGTTCCTCCCACAACCTTACCATACCGATCCGACCAACGCTACTGCCCGGCCAGTTGCGCTGCCAATACCTGTCGACCCTTCGGGGGAGTATCCGGCCGGGGTGCCGTTCCCCCCAGCCCTCTTGAACGGAACATTGCCGCCGTCTTTAAGCTATTTACCGCCGGGCACCGTCGTCCTGCCGCCGCCCGGCAACCAAACGGATTATTCCGACTACGACGACCCGTCCATCTACTATCCGCCGCCCTACAGCTTCTTCTACCCTAAAGATAACGCGTCGGCCGTGCCGGCTGGTCCGCTGGTGCCCGGCATCGTACTACCGCCGCCTCCCGACTTTTTCGCACCTTTGGAGGACGTCCCGACGCCTACTAGGAAACCGATGCGCAACAGAAAACCCACGACAACACAACTGACAGTCATCAAAACTACTAGCACTACTAAGAAACCGATAACGCAAAAAACTGTTAAGATATACCCGGTGAAGAACCACCAATACATCAAGGAAATCAAACAAACCACCACCACTACAATCGCCCCGCAAAAATCGGTTACTATACTGCCGGAGGTGTTCACTGTGCCGCCACCGGCGCGAAAGAAACCCGGCATCACCGTTCTGAGACCCGTCACGCCGCCCAAAGTGTACATATACGATAACGAAATACCGAACAAACCGTTCAAGCATTACGGCCCGCCGCCCGTCACCACCACCCAAATACCGCTCAGATACCACACCACCGCGCACGACATCGAAACGAATTCGGTCGATCAACAACAATCGAATTTGAGGAAACCGAAATATGCCAGAACCACCGTCAAACCGGTGCAATATTACTTCTACGAAGAACCGGAGAGATCCAACCGACGACCCAAGACTAACCACTATCCAGACAACAACGAACCATATTACGTCCGACCGAAACCCATCGTACCGTCGAGACAAAAACGTCCGCAATACGTCTACGTCACGGCCAGGCCGTACAACACGCAAAAACCTCGCTTCAGGTTCATACAACAAGCCGTCCATCCGGACAGTTTCAACATACACATCAACAAGCTCCAGCAACAGATCCACAAGTACTACACCACGTCGCCGCCGGCGTACCGCGCCGTCCCCAAACCCGTCTACCAATTCAGCTTCCAAGCGAACAACTTCCGCCACCGACCGGACGACCTGTCGCCGCCGGTGCAACGCGCCCCCGAAAAATACACCGTCGAAATCCAACAGGCCATCGAGCTAACGCCGCCGAGCGAAACGCCCAAATATCACAACGATCCCGTCTACTACCAGCACACCACCCAACGACCTTACTACAGCAGCTCGCCCAAATACCAACGACAGAACGTCGCGACGCCGCGACCCATCTCCGAATACTCGTTCGAAGCCACGCCGAACCCCGTCTACCAAGGCTACTACACGAAACCCGACGAGAGCTACTTCGACGATCGCACCAAAACGTACTTCACCATGTTCGGCAGGAAACTCCAACTGCCCGGAGGCGGTACCACGCCGCTGCCGCGCGGCGCTTCGTTGGAAGACGACACGCTGGTCAATTACGCGAATCCCCGGCCCGGCGTCGATCCCGACGCGGAGATAATACCGGTCAAAGACCGCCCGAGCTACCCGAACGTGGTGCGGTATCCGCCCGACAACGCGGAGGTCGTCAAGGCGATACCCGTCGAGGTGCCGTCGAAGGAGTCGCACGACGGTTCGTTCATTTCCTATCAGCTGCCCGGCGACGACGGCGCCCATTTCTACTTTCTGACGCCGCAATTGGCGCAGCGTCGCGACCAGGGCGTCGGTTATTTCTATTCGAAGGCGCGACGAAGGAGGAACGAGAAGACTGCGGATGTGGATAGATGAACGGCCGATTCGTTTAACGATAATTAAAATGAAACCTAGTGCCTGTTTTTTTTTATAAAATTTTTTTGGTCTGTGATCGTTAGAGATTTCGCGAGCGAATCGTGTGTTTTTAGTGAAGTACTTATTTATGTCGCGCGTTTATCGGAATAGACTGTTTTAGATGAATTTTTTCGTTAGGCGGTTCTAGCAATTAGAAACGCATTATTTGTAATTACTATGCAGTGTACTATATGAATTTCAATTTACTTGTTAATACAGAAATTCCCTTATTTCCATAAGTATATGACAGAAGTGAAACTTTCTAAATAAATTATAAGAATCACTGTTCAGTATTTCATTCGGTTACTTTTACATCGATCCTCCCAAGCTCTTTGATCCCCAATAACATTCAAACATTTACTAGAGAGTATTGTAAAATCTCTGTAGATTAGACCAGCAACTTTAGGTCTATATGTAACGGCTCTATTCCCGAATATAACAGAATCAAATCTAACTTACCCGTGTTCAATTCCTGTTCGGCGCTTTCGTCTTTCAAAGGTTCATCGAACAAATGTAAATACACTTCGATTGCACATTTGGCCGCTTTGAAATAGAACGGATGGCCTCGAAGGACGTCCTCCAGCCGCAACAGCCCCACGTACGAACGCAGCGTCATCTTTCGCATGCAGTACGTGTGAAAGTCGAATTGATCCTCGATTATCTCGGAAAAATGCTGAAACGATATACGGCGTTATCCATCGAAACGGATCCCACTTTTCGAGTAAAGCTTACTCTGTCGATTTCGTGGCATTTCTTTAAAGAATCCCCGTATCGGCCCAAGCGCTGATAGGCCAACGCGCACTCGGTTTGGAACCACATGCACTGCATCTCGTTGAGGTTCTCCATGGCGGAGACGCCCTCTCGCGTGAACTTGCCGCAGGTGTCTTCGGCTTCTTTGATGTAGTTGGCGCGCAACATGTACTTGGCGCATTTGGAATTGATGTAGCGATCGGCCGTGTCGAGCGCCTGCGCCTCGTCCAGCCATTTGTACGCTTCGTGATTATCACCGGCGTGCTACGATTACGATAAAAATCATCAACGCTTCTACGATATTGTGAATATTGCGAAATATGTACCTTGTATATTCTACCTTTCACTACGAACAGTTCGATTAAGGTAGGTGTGTGTTCGATGGCAGCATCGATGTAATGTATCGCCTTTTCAGTCAATTTTAAATAGTCGTAATGTTGAGCCAAGTAATAGTATACCCACAATAAGGCGCTGGCCGGTTCTTTGGGGCCGTTGTTTACCTACGAAATCGAAATAATTACATTCGATGGTGTCCTAATTAAGTTAACTCACCTCCGATTCACTGTACTTGCCGGTCTTCTTCAGCACTTCGACGTAGTGAAGCAACAGCGACTCGATCGTATCGGCTTTCGATTTGTCAGCGTATAAACTTCGTAAATCTACGAATAAAGGCGGTACGCCCTTCGATAAGGCCTTCCTCATGTATTTGTCCACTAAATTCCTAAAGTCGTCGCCGGTGGCGTAGTTTAATGGCAGTCTTCGTGGGGGCATCGCCCTCGGGTACTTTTCGGCGTACGTCAAATAAAATTTCACTACGTCCTGATTGTTTTCCAACCTGTTTCAATTGAGGAATTCGTAATAGGAATCGATAGAATTATAAATAAGTACCTTTTAGCCTGAATTAACTTATTGTAATAATTGGTATTCTCGGGGTTCCTTTGAATGAGCTCCTCGAAATACTCAGCGGCCCTGTCGAATTGTTTAAGTTTAAGATTTAATTCGCCTAGATTCTCCTTCAGCGTTAATTTGTCGACGATTTGATCCTGTGTCGATTCGAGATGCTTTAAAGCTTCTTTAAGATCCCCGGATTCTTGGATGATGAGGTTTTGATACAGAAGAAGCTCGCTGTGTTCGTAATCGAAGTTGTTGCCTTTCTGCAAATCCACAAATCGTAAGTAAGGGAATTTTGTAGTTAAATTTGTAATTAAATTACTTGTTGTTCCAGAAATGTTTCTAATATATTCAATGCGTTCTTGTATTCTTCTAGTAAATGGAAAGACATAGCATAACCTATCCAGGAAGCTCTTTGTGTAGGTCTAAGCATAAGCAATTGATATCTGGTATCCTAAAAAATACACGAGTAATTAATATTAATAATTGAAGTAATTTGTAATTCTTACCCTGTAACCTTCTAAATCACGCATTTGAATTTGTAGTAAGGATAAATCCCTAAGTATTTGAATGTTGTCTTTCTCCCACTTAAGGGCGTTTCTATAACACTTGATTGCTTCGTCATATTTTTTATCCGACCTCTGGAGTAAACCGTAAACGTGCCAACAAACGTGGGATTTCAAATCGTTCCTTAAACCCCTCCTAACGTATTCGTAGGCCTCTTCTTTCCTTCCTATACAGTTCAGGGTCAGACCCTTCATCGCAAGGGTCTCTGAAAAGTAACAATAGCAAGTAAATGTAACATTCTTGTATTTGCATCGATCGAAAACTAACCTCCATGTTCTGTGAATTTCGGATTTGAAAGGATTTGCTTCGCGAATTTTAACCCATTTTTGTATTGTTTGTGCTCGTAACACTTCTGCAATTCAAACAAAGTTACTTTTAACGTGTTAAATGATTGGTAATTGATGGAAAGGAAGTAGGTGCGTTACAATTCTAATTTTAAGGCTAAATAAACAATAACACTCGAATATCGGCGAAAATTGCATTTGGACGCGTTTACGCCGAACATAACTTTCAATTTGAACGAAATGCGGTAGTAATAAAAGGTTTATTTTGCTCAAAATTTGAATTGTTAGGGTAATCGTAAGGTGGAATACAAACCAAAATTCTTTTAAATAAGGCATTTTCTTTGGGTGGTAAAGGGTTACTAGAGGGCATTTCTAAATTTTCACTAAATTTGTGAACGATTTAAACCGGTGAAACTAAATGTATAAATTTTGAGGGATATTAAAACCTCGTGGTTACAAACTTCTCCAATGTCGATCGTGGTCACGTGACCCTTACTCAAATGACAGATGACTTTTACTATTTTGACGTATAATGATGAATCGAGTACGTTCCGAGTTGGAACAAGCTTAAAATCGCAACTCCTGGCGTATAGGCAACACAAATTACATTTACTGTCAAAGTGACATTTTAAAGTCAAAGTTTTTCAAGAAATATGTTCTCCACAAAATGCTTAATCGTAAAATAGATTACTTTACCTTCAAATAGTAATTTAGAAGAAAATTAATGTTATGATAATATCGTTTCGTATAAAATTCGAGGAAATGACGGACCAGACAATTAAAGTTTACGCCAGAATTAGAAAAACTAATGATAAAAATTCAGAGGTAAATTAAAGATTTGCCGTCACACGGCGGTTTGTACAGTAGAAATACTTTCAGCAATACTTAATACAACAGAACAATGACTACGAAGAAATAATATTCGCGAATTCCGGCATTTCTACGTTACAGAAAATCTGCAGGAAAGTGCTGTTATTAAAAAAATTAAGATAGCTATACTTGGCGCGTTTGGAAGACGGAGTAATAAAAATGTCAGGCGGTTCCAAAATATCCCTACCCCTGTACGGCAAAATCCTGTACAATGATCGATTCGATCGATAGAAATTTCGCACATCGCCTACAATTACTCAAAACCATTCACAGAGTATCAACTTTTAGGCTGGCCAATGGGGAGTGAGTGATATCGGCGACTCGTTTACACCCCGGATGGACTTCGGCTGATTAATGTGTTTATTACTCCGTCTTCCAAACGCGTCAAGTCTAGTGTCTTATAGAATTTTTGGACACCTGATAAAATTTAAATTACTCGTTTGAATAATTTAGCAAAAACTCTTTTAGATTTCACAAAGTATTCGACGCGAAAACCCCGCAATCTGAAATATTCGAAGTTGTCGCGAAACCAGTAATTATTAGGTTCAATATAAACCAGAAAAATTATTTAAATATTTATCTAATTCGATTTTTTTAGTGTTATAGAAGGTTTTAATGGTACCATCTTCGCTTACGGACAGGTAAGTACAAATACTAATGAGATTAATTGAGTAATTGCGTTAATTTTTAGACGGGTAGTGGTAAAACTTACGCTCTAAATGGCTGTACAAGAGAATTCAGCCAAAGAGGAATTATCCCTAGAAGTATAGAGTACATATTTAATCATTACAATAATGTAAATACCAACATTTCTCTTACAATATACCACTTTTATACCTTATTATCAATAGATTGCTGAGGAACCGACCATATACATATCATACATGGAAATTTACAATGAAATAGGGTACGATTTATTGAGTACTAAACAATACAACGTAACGAGAACACCAGAAGAACTACCGTGAGTTAAAAATGAAATGTAGTTCTTGAAATCTGTAAGAGCAAAATTTAATTTTAGGCGAGTTTCTGTGATGGAAGACAAGAAAGGCGATCCGCACATAAAAAACTTGAGCACCTTTCCGGTGACCAACGAAGAAGATGCCAAGCGATTGTTGTTTATGGGCGATACGAACAGGTACAAACACGCTCATTTATACTGAATTTATTTGATTTGTTGGTTCTATATAAGGACGATCGCCGAAACTCCATACAACGAATTCTCATCGAGATCCCACTGTATTTTTACGTTCTACATAACGCATTGCAGCACCAAGTCCAAGCTGATTAGATCGTCGAAGTTGCACCTGGTGGATTTGGCAGGGTATAACTTATTTACCATTTATGTTTATGTTTCCATTTTACTTGCTTCTATTTTAGGTCGGAAAGGGACTTCAAAACGAACGTTAACTCCATCGTACACGAAGCCAAATTCATAAATTTATCGCTGTATTTCCTGCAGCAAGTGATAATAGCGCTCTCGGAATCGAAAAGATCGCACATTCCCTACAGGAACAGCATGTTAACGCACCTCCTGAAGGACTCCTTGAACGGCAACTGCATCACAGTCATGCTGGCTACATTGTCAGTGAACAAGGAAAATTTCCAGGTACATTTTTGCATTCAATTCATTATCTTTTGAGCGTTTCATCCATTTGCAGGAAACTTTGAGCACCTGCCGATTCGCCCAAAGGGTATCCACAATCTCCACGAGCCCAACCGTAAACGAAATCTGCGATCCCGAAAAGGAAATCGAATTTTTGAAATTGAGAATAAGAAATTTGGAAACGCAGCTGTCTGATTCTAAAGATTTTTCGGTAATAACTGATACTATCGTGAATTTCCTACCTCTATCACCAAGTCAACTAACTTTATATTGCTTCGGGAATCTGTCTAGAACTATCTGGAACAATTTAGAAACATTCAGATTGCTTCATGCCTCATACTTGCTATTAAAATAAAAATTCATCACACGGTGTAATTTGTTGTAGAGCAGCAACGTTTTGTCGGTGCGACAGAAGGAGAATTGCGAAGCGGAAGTGCGGAAATTTATCAATTCCGACGAGAAACCGATTCGAGTGGAGGCCGACATGACTCAGATACAGTTCTGCTTCGATTTGCTGAGAAAGGAGCTGGACAAGCAGAGGACCGAACTGAGAACCATGGAGAAATTGGTGACCCAAAAGAAGACCGAGATAACCGGTTTGGTGAGGGAGATTCGGACCAAAGACAGCGAAATCGGTAACTGAAACGCCCGCCTAAAGCGCTCTTTTAATTTCATTTTAATTTAGAAAGGTTGAAAGTTGAAATCGAGAGAGTCCCAGACGATCCGATCAAAATGCTGTCGATAATCCCGACTGCTTCCAGAAATAATAAAAACCAATTAGAATCGATTTTAATCAAAGCAAACAACAAACCGCCGGACGATTACAAAACCGCCTTGCAAAATCAGCTGAATTTAGCCAAGAAATGCTCGGACACCATCGAGCATTGCAAGCGCAAGATAATCGTCTACCGCAGCGAATTGGAACACAGCAAAAGAACCCCTAGGGACAAACAGGAGCTAGTCAAAAAGCTGGAGGAACAGCAGAGGATTTACAAAGCGGAACTGGCCGAATTGAAGCGAATACAAGCGGACACGGCGCGACTCGAAGCCGCCGCAAAGCAATCGGAGATCAACACAGTCAACAAATTCGACGATTGGTTCAAAGGTAAAGACTCGGGGGATTCCCCGCGGAAACCTCCCCCGCAAATTTCAAACAACAACAAGGTGGAAATCGATAATACATACACCGTGCGCGATACTAAAGAGATAGAATTGAAGCTGCTGTGCGGCGGATCGAGCAACGAGTCCCTCAAAGGCAGCGGCTCCTCGGAGTCTTCCTTGAAGGACGTACAGGAACCGGTGGTGAAAGAAAAACCGGAGGATTCGACCGCGCAATCGGATCAAAACGGGTTCACTAAATATTTTAACGCTTCCGATTCCGCCGATTTCAAGGAATTCATGAAGAGCGTCTCGTCGTCCGGCGTGGACGAAGTAGACGAAGAAATCGTCAATTTTTATAGAAGTAAATTTTGATTGTAAATTTTGTGCGAGAGAACAAATTACCTAGCTTATAATTTAATTGTACATTAAATACATTTGCAGTAGAAATATCGTATCGTCGATTTCCAGCTCGATGCTGTTTAATTTCTTCATGTTTTTCTCGATCCTCGCGATTATTTCCTTCTCGGGAGGAGTGATCATTTCTTCGATCTGAAAGCGGATAATATATACAGAATGTTCCAGCAATTATTGTTAAGAATATACCTCAGCTAATTGTTCCTCTTCGGCTCCTTGCGATCTCATTCCTAACGTAATAGTATCGACCCTTTGTTTCTTATCTATAATCCTTTTGTTGGTGGATTTATCGTGGTTCCTGCGCGTCATGATGTTGAATAAAGTTTTATAGCACAATTCCAGGATCATTCGAGCTACTAGTTCGAGTTTGATGTGGAAGAGAGTGTACAGTTTACTGGGACCCCCGCCTCCCACTGCCTGTTTCCGCAGCTCCTGGATGTGCAGGAAGTTTTCCTCGTAGAGCTGGTAGGTCAATCGTTTGGCCTCTTTCGCCGGTATCATCACCAGTTTTTGGATCATATTCGGTTCTATGTACTTAAAAGTGCGCGTTAAAGCGATGTTTTTGTTAATGTTGGTTATAGTACCTGTTTCAATTTGACTAGTCGAAATATTCTAGCGGCTTTCGAATCGAATTTTTCCATAACGCATTGCTCGATTAGTTCCCAAGCGAATTGCTTGTAGGCGTCTTTGAGGTAGATTTGAAACGACCCGCCGCTGGCCTCCCCCGATTTCCTAATTAGATTGCTGTGATCTTGTTCTGGAACAAAAAAACTAAACAATTTTCAAACCTACCAAGTGTATACAAGTAATTACCGATTACGTTTACATACTGATCGAAGAAGGCGTTCAGCTGGCCCAAGTTTTTCTGTTTTCTAGCCAAATCTTTGATTTCGAGAATGGGAATGGGATTGGTCACGTCCGCCCAGGGATCCGTTCGAATGTACATTTGCTGTAATAGAATTTTCACTAATTCTCCGGCGTTTTCGTCGAATTTTTTCGTAAATGCTGAAATGATTATTTTATCTCGCATGTCTTGGTGGAACCTGTCGAAGTTTACGTGCCAATAAATGTCTTTATCGGGAAGCAACACGGCCTCTCCGGCTTTGAATTTCTGCAAGAGAATTACATCTACAGGTGGTAAAGTGTGTATTTCTTGTTCCACTAATTTAGGCACTGGCTTGTCTACGGCTTCGTTAACAGGAAGTCTTATTAGGTATTTGGCGTTTACTAAACTGATAAATTCGTTCTTTAGTTGGCTTAAAGGAATCGATTCTTCGTTCTTCGTTAGTCTCTCGTGCACTTTCAATATAACCTCGGAAGCGGTGATGTAGCTTCTTTGCAGGCATTCTTCGACTATCATCTCCGAGGAATCCCCGAATTTCTTTTTGATGATATTGATGTACTTCGGGTACCTCAACATAAGGAGAACTTTATCCGTGTCTATCGAGTAGTTTGCGATATTCTCGTTTTGATTCACAGCAAACGTTGCTAATTGGTATTTTATGAGAATTGTTAAAGATTCTTTTATCTGAAAATAAAAGGATTGGCATACAGGCGTTACTATTAAATATTTATGTACCTTTGAAATTGGTAAATCAGTTCGTTTTTTGATGTGAAGTAAAGGGCTGCTTCCGAATTGGTACAACGATGTGCCCACTCTTTCCACAACTGGACCGAATCTATCGATCAATATTAAACTTACGACTTTACCTAATTGCGAAGACATTGGTGAATTATTTAATTAAAACAACAAAAATATTCAATGCTTAAAAATAGGGTTATGTATATTTGTCAGTGTCATATGTCATACTTGTCAGATTTAGAAAAATTGTACAGATATGACCGAAAGCCTTAGTCGCTGAGGCCATAACAGAGACGAAGAAAATATACATGCAAGATGGTCAATTTTATGAGTTGAAGAAGGAAAGATTATAATAACAGTGGTTAGTGTGAGAAAGGTGCAATCCCACATCACTCTTTCTTTTTCCTTTATATGAGAATAATGGAAGTTGTCTTTGTTGCACCTATAGATTAAATTGCAAACAATTTTGCATCTACCTGTAAAGTACCCATTACAGAGTTTGAATACTTCACGTGCATTGTTGGTTTATGAATGAAATGCTGGAAATTATTAATTTTTTAATTCATTTATAAAATTCAGAATGTCAATAGTATAAAAAGATATCACCTAGTCAATAGTATTTTTTAATAAATTGGCTTAACATGTATAAATATTTACAATATTTTGAGTGTTTTATTATTTTACAAAATTGTTGATCACATTAATCCCTAGATGAATGAATTTATTTTATTGTATTGTGAACGATTCATCAAACATATTTTGAACGCAAAGAAAACTAAACACGTACAATAATCGTTATTTCCTTAAATAATTGTAAATTAAATAAAACTTTACCTCTAAATAATCATAAACTTAAACGCCGTTACGCTAAAATAATAAAATAAAGAAAATTCGGTTATTTTCGCATCAAGTTCGATTCGATCACAGAACATTTTGTTATTTGGCCTGTTTAGTCCTGCATTAAAATCGATTTGTCGCACTTGAACGAAAATAACTAGTTATAATTTGTAACCGTTCCACCATAATCGATTGATTAACAAACAGAATATTTCATTTTCCTTCGGTATACTTAACAAATTTTAGGATATCCCCCAAGAATCTTATAGTAATAAGAATTGAAGAAAAGAGAGCTTTTAATTAATTGCTAGTAAAAAAGCGAGACGCTCAATCAACTAGCTTCAGTTATTAAATTTCTTAGATTAAAATGGATTGGACGGAATAAAGTTGGTTTTGACTTTGCTGTAACACATAAAAACTTACTATAAAAAGGTACTAGTATTCAAAAAAAAAAACGGAATTTTTAATAGCACTGCCTGTTTCGATAAAGTTTTAAAACGAAAGCTTCCCACTTAATACTGTACAACTAGTTTGTTATTGGAAAATTTCGATCTTAACCAAATAATGCGCTCGAATAAATTAATATTTACAAAATAGCTATAATAAAAAATAAAGTAATCGTACTGTCAAACGTGAGCGCCTTCCACTCGATGTATCATAAACAAACACTCCCGATTATCCTTCCTCCGTGCTTGCGGCGACTGGCGCTCGACTAATAAGAATTTTACATGAAAATACAACTCAAATAAAACTTCTCAGTTTCCACTAATTGGGCAGAATGGATAATCCTTCGGAGGCGGCGGGCAAAACGACCGTACTAACAACGTTTTCCTGTTCCTCTTCGTTCGAATTGGCAACGTCGATGTGTTGCGGCACTTGAATCTGTACGGGAATTTGTATTTGAGAGGTGGGAACCTGAAAATTCGCAAATTTACTACAAATTCATTCCATATCGAGAGGCCCAAAAGTAACTGACACTTTAAACCTTCAGTAAAACGCAATTAATGGGCCTTTATACATTCTATCCTTATGATAACCCACTGAAAAAAGTCTAACGGTACCAAATCAGACGATGTACGATGTAAACACTACATGATACTAGCGCCCTCTGTCGAGTCACATAGTTTCCTGGCCTGTTATATAAGACCGAGTTTTTCATAACTGAACCTTCTTCTTGTGCTTCATTTGTGGCTTCAGCTACTAAAGTTATTCAGTTACTAAGGCGTTTTACAGTGAATATAGCGATAAATATAAAACATCAGTTACTTTTGTGGCGTCTTATGATTAAGAGAAACTCACCCCTCCGACGCTAATGGTAACTTGAGCCGTGCTAGTATTCACCGACAGCGGATCGTTAGACAACAGCCCTTGGGCCCTCTCGGCCTGCTCCGCCTGCTCCTTGGCCCGTCGCGTCACGTGCGACCTGGCGTGCTTCCTCAGATGATCCTTCCGATAGAACCCCTTGCCGCATTCGCCGCAAATCTCCGTCTTCTCGCCCGAATGGATAACGAAATGCAAATTCAGGTGTTCTTTCCGCTTGAAGCCCTTCATGCACACCGAACAGACGAACGGCCGCTCCGGATTGTGGCCGAGCTTGTGCCGCTCGAGGTGCTCCTTGCGCTTCAGGCCGGCGCCGCAGATGTCGCAGATGAAGCGCCGCTCGATCTTGTGGCCGACCAAGTGCTGCTCCAACAGCTCCTTCTCCGGATAGGCCATGTGGCATTCGGGACAGCAGAAGAGCGTCGTGCCGTCGAGGGCGGTCGCGATGTGCACCTGGCCCGGTTTCGGCTTCTTCGGCTTCGGCGGCTTCTTGTAGCGCTTCTTCTTCTTGGTCTTGGGATCGTCGACGGGCTCCTCGTTGTCGGGCTTGCCCTCCTGCACGACCAGCTGCCCGTTGCCGTCGTGCGCGGCGATGCTCACCGTCTCCACCATGCCGTCCTCGTTGACGATCTCGCGCTTGATGTCGCCGGTGTTGAACTTGAGGAACTGCTGCAGGCTGAGCGGCAGCGTGGTGTTCTGCATCTTGTGGATGTACTCGTGCAGGTTGGTGGTTTGCAGGTACTGCGCCGGCAGTGAGATCGACGCGCCCGATTCCTCCGAGTCTTTCAGTTCGTTTTTTATTATCGACACCGGCTGGGCGTCTTTGTCGCCGTCGTCTTGATCGGAGTGCGCTTGGATCAGCTGGATGTCTTGCGGTTGAAGGGCCGCCACCACCGTCATACCTTCCGGTACACCGTTTTGACTGTCCAACTGCAATAAATATACGAAGTTATAGAGAAAAATGTAGGTTGCTGAAGCCTACAAACTTACGATTTGTATTCCTTCCTGGTTCGAGTTGTAAGCCACTGTTAGCACGGTAGCGCCTTGTCCGAATGCCTGGATGGGTATCTGGGAGATTTGGTATTTGGGCGAGCTTGGAGGGCTAGCCTGCGACATTTGGGCCGGTTGGGGATTGACCACTTGTATCTGCACCGTCTGTTGGGGATCCCCCGGTTTAGCGCCCGGCATGGTTATAGGTAGAGTGATGATTTGCGTCCCCTGCAGAAACATCTTTCTTTAAAATTCTAGCTGTAGGTGTCGCGTAAGGTTCGTTAATTACCTGGTTCTGTTGCGACGTGGCCGTCGTAAAAGCGTTAGCGTCCAACGGTCGAATGTAATGGACGCCGTTTTCGCCCCCTTGCAAGACGCCCACCACTTGCCCGTTGGGGGTGGTGACGCTCTGCGTGATTTTGCCCGCTGTGAATTGAGTGGCTACCGGCAAAGCGGCCGACAACGGGACGCCGAACGGTGTGAAATTCATTTTTTTATCACTGAAAAATGTGCAAATTTATTTAATAGGGGGTAGCGTTAATTTGGGGAAAAATGATCAATGTCTTCAGATGCTTAGTAATAAAGATTGATTGTGTTATTGTTGTACGATTTATGAACAATATTTCCTTAATTTTCGAACGTTAAATTTTAATAATTAATCCGATGACAGAGAATTTTCACTGGGAGAGAGATCCAATGTAGAAAAAGTGCTATATCTTCATTAGTATTGCCCCGATTTATTTCAAATTTTCACACAACAATCTTAAGATGTTATACAATCAAATGAAAACAAAACAGTTACCATTCCTTAACTGTACCGAGTGTACTCTAAAAATAATGGATGGCAGTACCTCTAGAATTGGGCTATTTTTTAAGAAGTTTAATACAATTAAGAGACAGTATAACATCTATTTAATTTAATAATCTATTGGTATTACAAAACGCAAAATTTCTCCATAAATCGAGCCCTCCCGACGGCGCCTGAGTATCGAACTGAAGTACCAAAAGAGCGCAAACTTTCAACTTACGGGCCTGCATGCAGGTAGATCCAAATCCACACAAAACAACACCAAATATCCCTTCCCCCACAGAACCAAAAACCAAAACACAACTTCGTCCTTGACGTTTACCCCCGAAAAACCGCCAAGGGGGGATGATGTCGGATGTCGAGCCTAAAAAGAGGTGTCACAAACGAACATAAGGTACATTCATGGGAGTACCCGGGCCCGTAAGACACGGAACGCGGACGCGGACGAAGTGGGGCGCCCCGTGCGGTGCCGCATTAGAAAACCGTCACGTGGCCTTGCCTCGTCGCGTCTTCGTCCTGCGCGAGGGCCGTCGAAGGACCAGAAAGAGACGGAGGAACGAGAGAAATCGTACCGCAGGGGTATTAACACAGTTACCTACTTTCGGGTACTTTCACCTCGCGTTTGTGCTTTATTTTATTTTACCTTCTACTGTCGGGTGCTGTTAGCTATTAGTACGCGACGTTGTCGATTGTAAGTTGAAATTTCTAGCGCGGAATAATCAACAAGAAACATATTGTTTCACCTACATAATTATATCGAAAGTACCTGTATAAATAGGTATTACTATTAATGTGGATGAATCGTTTAATATAAATATACACGGTGAGGTTTACCGTTTATTTAATACGTTTCTCTATACAAAATTCTATAGCCTTTAAATCGACTCCATTTTGAAATGTAAATCAGAGATTTTATACCGTAGATGCGTAGGTATAATCTTTTCGAACCCCCCTCGTATATAAATATACAGTTAGTTCCGTGAGCAGGTGTCCGGTATAACGTGCATGCCAGCATAAAATGCGATTACAAAAAAAAAGTAAATAACCTAACCGAACTTTTCAATATTAAAAGACACAAAGGAAAATATTCAAGCGAATAAACAACGACCTATCGTAGTAGTCGTGTCGCTTGCTTTGATCGAAAACTGTCGTTTTTGTTTGTTCGAATATTCTCTATTGATGGGGTCGATTCGATTGATAATAATAAAAATAGGACGAGTATTATGCGTTCGAAATGGCGACACTCCCAATTTCCGAGCTTATTAGGTTGAATGACCTTGGGAGTAAAACGGAATGCCCAGTCTGCGGGAGATGCGAATTTCGAATAAAATAATCTACCGATGTCGACGCCGAACGTGGTGGAGGGAAGTGGTGGTGGTTTTCGAAGAATGTGGGGATGAATATATCCTACCAGATCACTATGGGCACCCCTTCCACAAAATTCTACATCACGGCGACGAAGCTCCCTACCCCAAAAACACCCACGAACCGCGAAGAGGTTCGTTTGTCTATGTTAAGAAGCACCCCGGATTTTAATTAAAACGTAATAAGTGCAATTTACCTGTTTTATTGTGGACGTAGAGCCTTCTTATAACAACACTTTCACGACTTCGTCATCAAAGCAAACGTAAACTGTTCATGTCAATTCCTAGGCTTGCCAAGATGTTTGATTTTGCGTAGATGGCAGTTCGTTCAAAATTTTCCCGCCGATTGACCGTTATTTTACTTTTTTATTTTTACACCATTTATTATTATAAATATGTACTAAAATGTTTTTACGACGACTTTTTGATTGACATTTTCGTAACTTAATAAATATAATCAATCTTTTACTAAAAAAAATATATTTTTTAAATAATTACACATTAACGGAATATTATTAGGTTTATTTAAAAATATTTCCGTTGCTTTCAAATTAGTTTTTTTATGATGAATGTTATCAATTTATTTATTTATTTACAAAAAAAATTATTAAATTTTTAACTTAATTTCTTTTCTTCTCTTTTACAACCTGCCTATACCCAATGTGATATCAGCCCCACTAAATATACTTCCAAATTCAATTAATTTCGTAATAAAATATAATAGTACATATTTTAAAGCAAAATGAAAGTGAAATTAGGAATGAAACAAATATATATCAATCAAACATTTATAAATATACTAAAATATTGTTTAAAAAAAGAAGATGAAATATGGCAACGTCGACAAATATTTTTCAGTTCAGTCACATCTGTCATACTTGTCACTTAGTAACGAACGTCAAAATAGGAAAGTGCAATGTACTTGTGAAATTTTACTATTTTTTTATTGCAACTTTTGTCATTGTTTTCGAAAACTAGTTAAGCTGAAGAATTTAGTTTTACGTCACAATTTAGAGTTCCGTTGTATTAGTAAGCTACCGTTCGCCGGGCCCGTTCGAAACGAACTAAACGGTATTTTTTTAGAATTTGCACAAAAAAATGGAATTGTCTTCGGGTGGCCCCAACGCTTCTAAACTAACGAGAGGAGCCGGAAGGAACTCGCATTCTCCTCTCTTACTATGTTCAGCGGATGCAGAAATTATAGATATTAGTAAAATTAATTTCGAAGATGACGAAAATTGGTATGTACTCTCTTCGATTATTTGCAAGCATTACTCACGGTTAATCTCTCATCGCAGGTTATGCTCGACGAAGTCGAGCGATGGAACCGACTTACAAGACTGGATTCGAAACGAACCGGACTCGAACATCACCCAGTCAGCCATGGATTTCCAGAAGAACATAGACACGAGAACGTTCACGCGGCCGAAGAAGCGCTTCTCCCGACCCAGCCTCGACCAATACAACGAATTCTACGCGAGCAGCAGCGAAACCGTCACCCTGGGCCCCGACTCGCGCGGCGCCATCGCCGAGGAGCCCTCGGACGGCGACCGCCCCAAGGCGAAATTCGACCTGTCGTTGCCCTCGAGCCCTTTCTACTTCAAGAATCTCGCCACCGACGCCATGATCGATTCGTTCATGAACGCCTCGCCGCCCAGCCTCGCCAATTCCCTCTGCTCCTCCACGTTCGCCAATCTGATGGAGAGCAGCGTCATCAAAAACGATCCGATACTCAGGGGCATCAGAGACGCCGATTACTCCAATTTCATATTGGATTCGGAAACTCCGATGATTCAGAGCTTGGAGAGCATCAGCTCCGAAAACGCTGATAGCTTCTGGAAGAAAATATCTTACAACAACAATTCGATAACTTCGGATTCTTTTATGAAGAAAAAAGATGGTGAGGTTTACGATTTTATTCTACGTATATTCGATATGTAATTTGATTTGTTTTTTTAGAAAAAGGGAGCAACGAAAAGCCTGGTGTCATAGCTGAAAGAACCTTTGTTATGGAAAACGAAGAAGTGAATCAGACATATAATAATCCTAACGGTACATATCGTAGAACCCCCAAACACAACACGTTTAGATTACACGATGTTCAAAGAGGTCCGAAACTCACAGAAACCACTTTCGATGCACTATTATCCAACAACGACGATAAACACATTAACAAAACTCGCAGGATCATAAACGATGTCGATAAATTGGAAGATATGAAGAAAGATCTCTCTCGTTCGTTGGAATTGCATACCGATTTAAATAGGTATTTTACTCATTACTAATCGTTAATCATTAATTTGCTCGATTGTATTTTAGACTGAGCTATTGCATGGAAAACGACCTCAAGTTAAACGACGTGAATAAAGCGAACAACTTGAACGATTCTGTAATGAACAGTTCCGCGGGTTCGGCAGATAGTCTCGATCGATTGAGCAGCCTGTCAGGCAGCAGCAGGGAATCGAATAAAATGCCAAATATAATAGACGTGGATGCTATTGTTAAAAGACAGGAGAAACGTTAGTTGGTTTCTAATAACGTACCTGCGAGGTTCTCAATGTTTTTTTTTTGTAGATTTGAATCTGAATTGCGTAATGTCGACTCCGAAGCCGTCGGCGGGGGGCCCCAGGATGTCGTGGGGCGATAAATTCATGTCGCCGATCGTAGACGGAAAGTCCGATTCGGATTTATCGTCGTCGGACGATTACAAAAGCGTCAAATCGTCGCAGGACGATAGGTTGAAGCACCAACAACCGAAGACGATGAATTTCATCAAAGTGGCCAACACCAAATTGAAAACCGGCCACCAATCGACCTACACCGGCTCGATCACCAAACCGATGGCAGCCATCAGGCGAGTTACTTGCATTCCTTTTAAATCCAATAGTTATAATTTAATTCGAAAAAAACTCTCAGGTCTCCTACGAAATCGCCGAAGGCCAATTGCTATTCCAATTTGCGCGGTTCGATCGTACCGAGCGTCCATAAATTAAGCAAACCCCGACCGTCGAGCGTCGTCGCGTCGAATTTAAAGGCCATGGGAACGACGTTGAAGGGCTCCTACACCAGCTTGAGGCCGATCAGCACGAATTTACCCGAAGCGCCGCCTCTCGTCGGTAACGTGCAACCAATATCGATATCGAGGGCTGCTCAGCCTAACGTGACCCGCACTTTGGAGCCCCTAGATGTGAGTAAATGATTTTCCTTTCGAATGGCCTCTTACCTACTATAACAGTGGTGCTAATGTAATGTATTTTTCTTTAGGATAAAGCAGCGTCTAAAGAACATTTAGGCGTAGATGAGACTTTCGTGAAGCCCCTGCCGAAGCCTAGTTATTTGCCACGTCCCTCTAGCATTCCAAGGCCAGCTACCGGCTCTAGAATACCGGCTCCTCGTAGCGGTAATTTGAGGTAATTACAACGAGTCTAATTTCTTCGATTTTCCATTCAATCGGGAGTAAAAGCCGCGTCGGAATAAGTTTGTGATACTCTGAATAGATATTCGATGCTTGTAAATCTAACGATTGTTATGAGCTTTGTTCGATTCTTTTTATAAGATGAGATTTATGTATTATTGAGGAATCGAAGTTCCTGTTTTTATAAGAGAATTGCTCAATTATTCTTCTTATTTGGTTTGCCGAAATTCGCGAATTAACATGAAATATAAAAGTTGTGTTTTCTCACTGAAATTGATCGATTTTGACAATTTTAATGGAGCGTCTTGTAGTAAATAGAATCTTTTATATTTCGTATTGATTCGTGTGGTTTTTTTAACAGATTATATATTTTTAGAGTAGATTATTAATACTAAAGCCGCTGTCATTTCAAAGGTAACTTATCGCCCAGGCCTAACTGTAATTTCCTAAATGTACTAATTGATTTTCATGAGAAGAGGAAATTTATGGCTATAATTTCAATAGTACATCGATGATTTATTTACACGTAATTAGAGTATATCTCAAAATCGACTGAAGAAGTTAGACTTCTGTTGTGCGTAATTCGCCATAATTTTTTTCTTAAGAGCTTTACATGACCCGTTTGTAATATTTAAAAGGCTCGTAATTGGTGGAAAAAAATCATATCGTATTTAACAGTGATAACGAATTTTTTTGTGAAAAAATTTTTAGGCAAATACCCGCAAGAACTTCGTACAGTAGTAAACGATTAACGAAAATGTTGACCCAGTAATAACGCGATTATTCTAGTAGGCGGTGTTTCTTCTCTCTTGTGCCTTAAATTTGCGCACGAGCTTGTCTGATAGGTGTTCGTGCGTACCCGCCACTCATCGTTATTCACCTGCCCAATTAATGTAATATTTATTAATTTATATTACGATTTTTATAACGTAGGAAAGTTTGCTTTTATTTTCGTTCTGTTTGTAAACAGTTAATTGAAAAATGTCGCCGCGACAAAATCATATTTAATTATCTCGTACTAACCAAAGTCGAAAGTGAACTCTTCCAAAGTAAATATACATAATTGTGTATTAATTTGTTTATTATTATTATTATTAAAAGTGTCCTGAAAATACGTTTATTTGTGATTGTTTTTTAATTATTATAGTACATTTTTCGCTAGTCTTATGGGAGAGTACATTTATTTATTTCTAACTCTTTTAACTCATTCTTCTCATTTCATTTTCGTAATTAATTGTATATTTTGTCCATAAAGCAGAGTATAGCTAGGCATTTTTTTGTATATTCAGGATACTTAGCGAATTAATTCAAATATAAACGCAAATATATAGAATATATGAAATGTTTTCGTTTGAGTAACTAATAGAAAAATCGATTAATTAGTTTGTTTCTTTATATTTAATTTTTTTAATTAGATGCCGAAGCAATGGCTCGTCTGGCTCGTGATACTTAATCTGTTTGCAATATTGCCAATTTTATGAGTTGAACAAAGAAAGTTTATTAAAATAACAGTTAATTAGAGTAAGAAAGTTGAAATCACACAATATCCCCCTTTCTTTTTCCTTCCTAACGGAAGTTGTCTTTGTTGCACTCATAGCTTATATTGCAAATTGATTTGGCCGAGATCCAGACGTGTCGTTGTCAGCAAATCCATCAGGAAGTGATCCAAATATTTCGAAGAGTACGAATATTCATTTAACATTTTTATTCTAATGGAATCGCTTTAATAATATCGATTATAGTCGCCTAATACGTTTGATGTTTGAAATAAATACACTGGGAAAAAAGTTTGGATCGCTTTAAATCAACTTTAAGATCTCTAATTTAGCGAAAGTTTCGTGGAATTTGTACGACAATCTAATTTTTCCTGGCGAAATATATCGTTTTTTACTTGTTTTTACTACAAAAAATATATTATTAAAAACTAAAATCATCCGTTTATTATTCAACAAATAAAACTACTTACATCGAGACACGCCACTGTAAAACACCCTATACTCTATTTAAAAACTAGGTGGAGCATTTTAAAAAGCCAGATTCACACCCAAAAAAGTTACTAGAAAATTTGCAAGGCTGCAAATAAACTCACAATAACTCACAATATTTATATTAAAAGAAGGAATGAATTAACAAATCACCCAAATAGGACATATTAAATACTTCTAAAACATAACCTCAAAAAGGTGGTAAACCAGTTTTACAGCGTGAACTTGATTAGTAATTAACCAATAAACAAACGCGAGTGTTGCCAACTTAAATTCAAATCGCTCCTCCTAGTTTTCAAACAGAGTACAGTACACGTCAGTCTTGCAAACATCCCCTGATTATCACAGCCTCGTTGTAGCACCAGCGCGCACGCCCGCGCCCCCCCTACGTCCAATCGCAGTAGCCCCTGCACTTCCCTCCCGCCTCCCCGAAGCCGCCGCCGACGCAGCTCGGCGCGAACCGCACGTTGATCGTGACCGGGTGCAGCGCGTCCGTCGCGGCGCCCTCCAGCAGCTCGCCCTCGCCCAGGTAGGGCGCCAGCGCCCTGTACTCCACCGCCAGCGGCACGTAGTGGGAGCGCTTCGCGTGCAACGCGAATATCGGCACGTCGAAGTTCCGCTCGGCGGCGGCACCGGCGGCGCCCGGGTGGCGCTTCGGCGGCGGGTTTTTCGGCGCCAGAGGGGGGCTCGATGACCTGCCCGATGCGTGGCTACAAACATAATCTAGATAGTATCACTATCTCTTATACAGAGTCTTCATAAATGATTGATTCTTACGTGACCTAAAAATTTAGGCAACCAAAAGTGCACGGTTGTTATAATTTTCAAGAAATGTCCCTATTTTGAATACAAATCAACACAGTGTCGTAAGAACGTTAATCCACTAGGTTCTTCATTATTTTTACCTATCATTAATTTAAGTGTATGTTGATACACAGTTTTCTTTGGGAAAAGCACAGGAAAAACGACGAAAAATAAACAAAACACGTTATTTCTACCGACATATCACCGAGTTGACGTTGACTTGACATTAAATGACAGTATTTTAGTAACGTATTTTTCGGGTACCAACATAAACATAACAAATTTACTACGTTCATTTCGAATTCAGTCACATGGGAATCAATCATTTATGAAGACTCTGTATTATACACTATACTCTATTTAAAAACTAGGAGGAGCACCAAAGGTGGTAAACAAGAATTATACACTTTTACAGCGTGAACTTGACTCGTAATTAACCAATAAACAAACGCGAGTGTTGCCAACTTAAATTCAAATCGCTTCTAATAGTTTTTAAAAAGAGTATACCAGGAAGTATTTTTTGAGGCCCCCCTCTATATGCTAGATTTGAGACGAATTGAATAGGGTACGTACATTTGTAGGGAGTCGTTAGCTGGTGGTTCTAATTTCGGTGTGATTACAGATGAGGTACTACCCGATGGGGATCTTCCTTGCGTAAAATCGCTTTCCGATGCTCTAGTGTGGGCTTCCCCGCTCGGTGGAGACCCGTAACTGGAACTAAAAAAATCATCAAGCACAATTTTTTAAACGAAAATTACAAGCGCAAACCTCCTGTTTTCCACGCTATTCATCGACCCCCTTCGTTCGTTCCCGATCCTCCGGCCGGCCGTCCCGTTCGTGTCGCGGCTGAACCTCAGCTTGATGTTGGTCTTGTACTTGTAGGACGCCGCGCCCGGCGCTTCGGCGTTCTTGCAGTACTCGCCGTTGTTCGCGCCGGCCTCCGACTCGTTGTTGTTCCGGTCCTGCGGCAACGCCGCCGCCGCGTATTCGCCGGCCGGCGAGCCGCGACTGGCGGGCGTCGCGACGCCGCCCCCGCCGTACGCGGAGGGGCGCGCGACGCGCTCGCCGTGCGCCTGCAGGTGGTCGAGCAGCCGCAGGCAGAACGGCTCCCTGGGGAAGTGGCCCTCGATCTCCACCAGGAAGCGCATGGTCTCCGACATGCACTCTTGGTAGCCCAAGCTGACCGAAAAGAATGACATGTGAATTGACATATGACAGGTACAGGTGAGAATGAGAATTGACATAATGGCGGTCGATTTACCGGTAGTGATCGGTGGGATTTCCGTGTTCGCTTTGTAAGTACTTCATGTGTTTGATGGCCATTTCGATGATTTCGGTTTTCTCGACGCGCCCGCGGCCCTTTTTCAGGTACTCGGCGGGAATGAGTCGGGACAAATCGGCCAGGCAATTGTTCATCCTGTCCCTTCGGCGCTTCTCGATGATCCGATGCGACATCGGGTCTTGCTAAAAACACATCAGAAAAAAACTTTTTACCGGCTCATCTGAGCAAAACACAGTCCTATATTTGTAAGGTCTGGAAACATCAGTCGAAAAGTGTCCCGTTATTTGAGGATAAAACAGGGTTCTAAAACGGCCGCTAGGAGGCAATGTTGTAAAGGACCACGGTTTTTTGCGTTCGAATTATGCAGAATTAGCATTAAGAAAGGTTATATTCAAACTAAAAATAGATACAAAATATAAAAATATACTTAAATCAGAGATGATTTTGTTGTAAACATCATGCCTCACGTATCTTCGGGTAATTTATTTCTCCATTTTCTCCTCGAAATGTCAAAAAATAATTTTTGAAGTTTTGACAGCTTGAACTGTCGTCTCACAACCGCGATTTATATGTAGCGCGACGTTGATTGGTCGAGAAAAGTTGGTCCTCCGATCGTTCGCCACGGTGCGGTACAAAAGTGAAGCTCAAAAAGTCCTCAAATAACGGGACACATTCTCTAATGCATAGGCATAGGGAATTTCCAGACCTTAGAAATATAGGGCCGTGGTGCAAAATAACGTCGTATAACTCACCCTAGCGGATTTGCTCTTCTTGTAGCCGCCCCCGGCGTATTCGTAGTCGTCCTCGCTGCAAGCGGCTGTATTGAAATTCAAATTCCTGCGAATATAATTCGAGCGTACAAGCAGGAACGTACGAGGGCCATGCCATTAAAAAAAACTTACGTATCATTGTACAGTGAGTTTTCTTCCTTTAATCGATGCGTCTCATCGTGGGGGTTGCAACTGAAAATTATCAATATTATATCGTGGAATAAGAAAAAATGGTGCCGGTCCAGTATTGGATCTACTATACCCATTGCTTTAATTCAGACCGCAACATGGCCATCTCCATGTGTTGAACAAAGAAAGATACTAAAATGACAGTTGTCAGAGTAAAAAGTTGCAATGACAAAATGTCATTGCACCCCTTTTCGTTTGTTTAATGAAGTTTGTATATTTTACGTTTAAATACTGGTACTTCCCCAATTCTCGATAAATTGAATTACCCACATGCTGTTCTATAAATAATAGAATACCAGTAATTTTTTTTCTTTTGCTTAATAAAGGGTCAATTTTCAAAATCTTGCTGTTATAAAAATAAATTTGGCGCTTACTAAACCGGCACCAAAAAATTCTATACTATATTTATTGTTTAAAGAACATACGCATTATATTGTATAAAAAATAATATAGGAGCGCTTAATATTCTATTAACTATTAATTATTCACTATTAATTTCGGAAAGGCAAATGTTGCGCAAAAAAAATTAAAAACCCGTCGGCAATCTCGCGAAATTATCATAAAAAAATAACCAGATATAATTATTTGACAGAGTTAAAAATAGCACGTACGTAAAAAACCCATTCGAATCGGTAAACACCGCGAAACGAGCCGCACGTACGCACGGACAACTTTTCCTTTTTCCACCCCGCGAATTACCCGAACTTATCCTCACCTCTGGAACGGCGCCCGCCGCCCGGCGGGGCCCTCCTCCCAGTAGACCGGCTGCGACGCGTCCATCCGCGCGCGGCCCCTTTTCGCGCTCTCGAATCCGCCTGTGACGATGCTCGTGCGGGCCCCTCGGCTCGCCAAAGTGCACTCGAACGCGGCTCCCGTCGCTCGCCCGACTGGCGGATATCACGCCGTGGAAGCGGCGACGCGGAGGGGGCGCGACGGAGACGGAAGGAGCGGCGGCGGCGCGCGTGCGACGGAGACGGCGATAGCGGTGAGCGACGGACACGTGAGTGTCGCGTTTGTTTTTGTCGAGTGGCTATAGTACGGGAAAATTATACCATACTGTATTACTTTTTTTGAGGAGTCTTGTACGCATCTACGAGCTATGAGATTTGTTGTTGAAAGTTTCATCCAATAAACGCTTAATTAACGCGTAATTTTCCCGGACTATTTCGCAACGTATTTGCTCACATGTCGTTTTGCATATGTGATAGAGATAAACGAAAGGAGGGGCGCGCGAGCGGGAGAGAGATAAGATTAAAGGAGATGTGAACATGCCGTCGGACACGTGAGCCGTTATTACACGTTTATAGTCCAGTGGAATTCGTTCTTAAACGAAAAACAACCAACTAACAAACAATATTTGTCATACTCGTTAATTAAATGAAGCGACCTCGAGTCCTTCGTCATACGCGCTTTCTTTACTTTAAATCACCTTGTACGGTAAAATGTTTTCAGGAATGCGCCGCGTGCGGTGAAAGCGAATTAAATATTTCAGCGTTGCAATAATTATTTATTAATATGGGTGATTAATTAAATGTTAAATGTAAAGGAACGAGCGTCGAATCCACGTTTTTGCCAACAACAACATTCGTTTTCGTTGCTACCACGTTAATTGGCACGTGATCTTTCGATTCAAGGAAAATGCGATATGCGATTTCATTTCTCCATACTCCGGCCCAAAAGAATTTGAATCTTTTTCCTTATTCTAATTATAAAATTGATTTAATATCGAATATTTGTTGCCGTTATAGTGTCAGTTTTTGAAAAATTTTCACCGAACGAAACCTTGATGAAGTGTTTTCGTGGGGTTTAATCTTTAACCTGATGAAACTAATTGGATTAGGGGATGAAAATAGTAACAAAATTACATCAAAAATTTTAGTTTATTAAGAAAAAAATTGCACAAAATTCTTCCTAAATATCCTAACCGAAACATCACATACGCATTTACTTCACATAAAATACTGTCCTATCAACAATAAAATTAATTATTGGAATTGATCAGATCAATTAATCCACCGCGTTTTGTTTATGAATTCATTCATTCGTCGTTTAACTTACAAACTAACGGCTACGATAATTAATAAAGCTCAAAGCAAAAAAAATAATACTTAAAAATTAGTGGCAAGACGTATTTCCATTCATGAGTATTATATTTTAATAAATTTCATTTACAAATTGGAAATTAAATAAAAAAATAGCAACATTAATACTGATTGAAAAACGAAGAAAAAAAATTTTGTTTGACAGTCTTTTTGAAATCATAATCTCAGATCTACGGTCACTTTTATTTCATCGAAAAAAAAATTATTATTATCGACCCAACGAAAAATAACCGAATAATCAAATCACAGCTCAAAAATTTGGGTTCTCCTTTCTTTTCGTAATGACTAGAAATTTTAATGTCCGTTTTCGAGGTCGAAATTTGCGAACTCACCCCGTATATTCGACAAACGCGTTAACTCCTACGAGGGACATGACAAATGTTGCAAAAAAAATAAAAAAATTATTTCGAACAGTCTCATTTCGATTTGTACTCGATTTCTTTTCAAAGTATTTTATTTCCAAACAGTTCGGAGATTCTTTTTTTGTAATGACTAGAATTTTGTCTAATATCGTCAACGCATTAGCTCCTACGAGGGAATCACAATAAATTAGTAAAATTTACAAACGAAATTTGAGGAACTAACAGAAAGAAAATAATAATCTATTTACATCTTTTTGAAAGATGCTTCATAATATGAACTGTGCTGTTTTTGCAGTCTCTTATAAATTTATAGACTTATAAAATAAGTTACATATAACAAGTCTATTGACGGAGTCTTTAGACGTGTTACAAATCATAAAAAAAATAACGAATTAATATAAATAAAGCAAAAAGGTGCTACACATTCTTTCGTATCACTGAATATTAAATAAAAATCGAAGAGTAAATCGTATTATAGGCAAAAAATAATCATCAGGTGCGGAATTATTCATCATAAATTAATTAAACAGGTAAGTGCAAATTTGTTTACAATATGATCAATTCTATGAGCTGAACAAAGAAAGCATGTAAAACCAGTGATTAGAGTGAGAAAGTTTCACTCCTACATTATCACTCTTTCTTTTTCCTTTTATACGAGATTAATAAAAATGGTCCTTGTTGCACCCATATTGCATACAAACATGCACTTAACTCTACACCCCGTTCTGAGATAAAAAAAATCAACGAGGTGTAACTAATAATTTACAATAAATAACCCTAAAATAACTAACGCTTATTATAGAAACGTTAAAATAATAATCTCGAAGATTCTCAACAAAAATTCCAAAATCCATATAAACCTCCTGGAATTCTTAAAGAACAAAGGTACACACTTACTTACTCTTACTTTCAACAAAAAAAGAAGAAAACAAAATTGCAATCCGGTCGGGTGAAAATATCATCTCGAACTCGAATATTTTAAACGTCCTCGTATCTATGCTTATCTTCGTTCTTCCAAGAACTGACCTGGATGTGCGGAGGAGGCAAGAAGCTCCTCAACGACTGTATCAGCTGAATGGTATCCATCAAAGCTACAATAAAACAAAATACACTGTAAAACTACATCAATAATATGCATAAGAATGATTTTACAATTGGAAATAAATCAGATAAGATCAAAGTTTATCGCTGTGAATCACCATTCGAAAGCATCGAAGCGGCTCTCAAGAATTCAATACTCGGATTTAACATCACGTTTATCACCAACGTTTTAGTGTAATATCGAAATTACTGCAAGAACTCACTTTTTTGCAAAGCCTCCGATTGTTTCCCGTACGGTTTGCACATGGCAGGTCTCACGTAGGTCTTCATCCTAGCCATGTTCTTCATCACTTCGCCGAACGCCCTCACGATCTTCTCTTGACCCCCATCGGAAAGGTTCTTCTCCGACAAATTCTTCTCCGTCGACGACGAGGAGTTCGATTGTGGCGTCCAAGCCCCGTTATGAAGCGCTAAAAAAGACACTTATTTAGCTGCGTAACGCCATAGTAGGAGTCAATCCATAGTAGAGAAAAGGTCCAGTAGAGGAGTGTGTTGGACAACAAGAGAGTGTCCAAGGGAGTACTAAATATCTACATTAAAGGAGAGAAATATTTGTGGCATCGTACCTTCCAAATTCTCCAAGTTAGCCCTCAAGAAATCGGTGATCTTGTGCTCCATCAGCGGCAATTCGAAGTGTTGCTTCTGCTGGTGTTGTTGCTGCTGCTGCTGCTGTTGCTGGCCCTTCACCAAGTCGAGTTGCTGTTGCAGCTGCATTTGCTGGCGTTGCTTCTCCAAATTGGCGTTCAGCTTCTCGATGTTCTGCTGGGCGATGACGCGGTTCTGTTGCTGGATCAGCGCCGCCGTGATTTGCTGTTGCGTCGGCTGCGGCGCGGCCGATTTCTGTCGGTCCATCAGCGACTGGCCGGCCTTCGACTCCATGGCGCTCTGGGCGCCGCTCAGATCGACGCCGCCCAGGCCGGGCGGGCCGTTGAACGCCATCGAATTGCCTTTGTCGGGCTTGTCGAGGGCGTAGTTGTGCTTGCGCGATCTGATGTCGTTGGCGCCCGATTGGGCGTCGCCCAAGTACCCGGCGTTCAAGTGCTGTAGCGTTTTTTGCGTCAATTCCATCTGGCTCTTGTAGTATCGGCAAGCGGGGTTCGGGCAATTTTGCACCACTTCGATCACGAACTCCTTCTCCATGCCGAAATTCTCCCTGCCGATGGTGTACGAATCCATAACCTTAAACACGTTTATTATCCACCTAATAGTATGCGAGTATAAGTAAATCTTACGGCTCGAACTGTTGCCTCGACGCCCAGATGCAACCCGTGCGGTCCGTTCATGTGCTTCAGCATCACTGCGTTAGCAAAATGCTCAAAAGGCAGTATAATCTTCCCGTTTTCTCTTAAAATCAACCTTCCTTGTGTATCCAAAGTCACACGAGACGCCATCATCCTAACAAACATACAAACGTTTAACTTACATCGAATGCTACAAGAGCGAGTACTCACTGTAAATAGGCGGCGCTGGGCAGCATGGAGGTCTCCTTCAGTTCGGTGAAGCATTGCAGCAACTCCACGGAGGGATTCCAGCCTTTGTTTTGCAGGTACAGCTGCAGCAACATGTACAGCTTCTCGGTGACATAACCTGCGCCGGGAAAGCCCATGTTGCTGGCCGACGATAGATCCGTAACGGACGTTTGTTGGATACCTTTCGCTAAAACGTTCTTCATCGTTTCGGCTAGATCCATCTATACGGGGAACGGGATTAGTGGGATGGTTTAAAACGGCATTATTCTTCGCTTGGTGCTAAATCGATTCGTTGGTTTCGCTGTTTTGGAAGCGATTCATTGTTTTTGCTTGATATTTGCACGGTTTATCACTGGTATAACGCACTAATTAATGATGCACTTTTGATGCAAAAAAGCAAAATGGCAATTGCAAAAAATCTTCTACTTTTTTGGTTATTTGGACTTGTCCCCTACTATCATGCACTCACTAAATGTGAAATAAATTGTCAGTAAAAGAAGAATTTAGAAAGATTTGACAGTTTTGACACTTTCGATTTGACATTTCTAAACGTCAGAGTAATTTTAATTTACGTTTTTCAAACAACAAATAAGTGTGGATTAGTAAGCAGAAGGAGCGATTTTTATCGTAGAATGACTTTAAATATCCAAAAAATTCCAGTTTTCGTGTTTCCTAACGCATTGAAATTTTATCTATCCACCAAATCGTCGCACAAGCAGCTTTTAACGCTCTACAATCCATACGACTTTCCAGTGAGATTCAAAGGTAAATCAAAATTGTTATTTTATCGAGCGTTAATTGTGTTCGCTCAGGTATTTTATGTATTCATTATTCAAGCGTGTTATCGACACGTTAATTGATTATTGAGTATGTATATATTGTAATTGTATGTGTAACTACTTTTATAATTGTACTATTTTGTATTCCAGTATTGTCTACAGCTCCGAATAAATATGCAGTGATTGATCCGGAGGGAAATATAGGACCACGAATGCTAGTCGATATCGTAATTAGGCACACGAATCCATGTAGTAATAATTGCAATGTCGTTGATAAATTCAGGATATCCATGCAAGACCATGTAACAAAGCAGGTAAATTCTGTGGATTAGAGGATAACAGTACAGGGAAAGTTATCTTAATAAGTCTCCAAGTTATTACCTGGGTTATTGTTAACAGTAGTTCTTACCTGAGTTATCAGTAAAAGGGTCGTAAAGAGGCAATTCCTAGAATCTACATAAAAGAGGTTTTCACAATATGTACCTTTCTTAAATCTCAATTTTGTTAATAATTATCTGAGGGTACATAATATGTAGAAGATCCAATAGATTCTGATGATGTACCAGGGATGTTTCCAAAGTTCTGGGAACTGTGCTCTAATTAAATAATGCAGTTTATAGGCAAATATTGTTATTGTTGAGAGACAAGTCTTTACATGTTTGTGCAACAATCCTGAATAAATCTGATGTTTTCACACCTTTTTTTCCACGAAAAGAAAATGATTGCTCTTTTAGATTTTTCTGAGTCTTCTATGGTTACAAAAACAGTACTTTAAAAACAGATCTATCATTTAAACACCTGCATGGATAGTTCGCACCATTTCCAGAACTTTGGAAACATCCCCATAGATAAAAATGTTTGTTTTAGTTACTGGGTAAACGGGATATCGAAGCGACGTTGATGCCAGGCGAAAAAGACAACATATCGAACGATGGCGATTTCCAGAGCGTGCCCCATCACTTTGACCGGTCTTCAAATTCTTCGGAAGACCAAAGGGCTTACATGACGAACAGATCGGTGATACAATCGACCAATTACATGTTGGCTTTAGTCATAGGTCTAGTGTGTGTGGTAACGTTGTTGTTGCCTACGCAGCAGGAGATTCCGAAGCCTTCGAGTATTCCAGCGACATTTCATATTAGTGTGAATTTTAAGTTGGTTTTGGCCTATGTGCTGGGATTGGTGACGATGGTGATTTTTAGACAGTGATTTTTATTATGTTTTTTCTGTTGCGGTGTAAATACGTGGGTTTTTTATTATTATTTTTATTGTTTTGAATAAAATGGTTTTATATAGGAATTGTTGGAATTTTACATAAGAGAAATATAGAAAGCGGGAAATTTAGTGATACATTTTATTGCTACATTTTTTTTTGTTAGTAATAATCGATCATCACAATTAAAATCACTATATTTTTGATTATAATTTAACCATATTAACTTAGTGGTACTCGTAAATTGTACGTTGAAAATAAAAAAAAATTGATCCATCCAGTTAAAAGAGTATCCGTATAAAATTTACATTTGTTTATAGAGTTCCACAAGATTAGATTGATATATAAATAACAGTAAAAGAGACAATAAATCGGTGTAAATCATTCGTAATATTATGTAAGCTCTTATTTTGTATTAAAAAAAGTTATCCTAATTACGAAGTAGATTTGAAACAGCTAGTTTTATTGGAATCTAAAAAAAATGTGATATAAATAGATGCATTGCAGAAATGCACCAAAATTGCATTGAGAATATTGTATATCCTTGCTAATTATAATCCATTACACGTAGAGTTTCATCACCATTACTAAAATTTCGAATCCAACGAAACGAGTACATTAGATTAATACAACTACAATAGTCGCCTAAAGTGAATAGTTTATAAATATATATCATAATTATTCAATACAAATTTAATAGAATCGTAAAGTTATCCAAATTATCGTCTATATAATATTAGATAAACCATAAATATACTTATGTTTAATATCACTACCCTAACTCCGAGATGCCATCATAAAATTCCAAAATAAAAACTACAAAGAGATGCAATAATAATACTCTCAAAATATACCCTATCACTTTCTTCATCAGTCTCATTACCAACCCTTATTAAAGCGTTACAAAACCATATAAGCAGCCCAATAAATAATAACAGTACAGTATGAAGTATGACCCTTCTATACACAAATAACGCAAATAATATATTACTTAGGTGTCAATTAAAGTATCCTTATTCGACAATCAATAATTTTGTACATCAAACAAATTCGTCGATAACACGCCGTATTTCGAAATTTTATGTCAAAAAAATAACACGGCTCTAGCGCTGCTTGCCCAGCTTGTGCTTGCAAGTATCGGCCTCCGGGTAGGCCTCCCTGGGCGGGATGAAGCTCAGCATCATGATGTGCCGCATGTACGCCCTCGACTGGCGGAAACTGGTATCAGTGCCGTGCAGTCTGTCCAACACGCCCAAAACCCCAAAGCAATTATTGAACCTACAAACAAATAATTAGAGTTTTTGTGTAGGAATAGATTGAAAATCGCGACTTACTTCAAGTGGTGGAAGTCGTGCGCCTCGGGGCTCGGGAAGAACGGCAGATGGTAGCCCGAATGGGCGTTTAGGGTGGACAAAATGGCCAAAGTGAACCACAGCCAAGCCGTGGCGATGTGGGAGCTCATCAGAAACACCCCCAAAAACGGTGGAATTAGGTTGGAAAAGATGTGCTCGATCGGGTGGCAATAAATTGCCGTCACCGCTATCGGGGACGTCCATTCGTGGTGCTGCTTGTGGATGTACTTGTACAAGTATTTGCTGTGCAGCAACCTAAAGAAAAACGTACTTTATCTAGTAGAACGATATTAGAAAAATAACGCTTATTTTGTAATAGTCGTTACCGCACCTCTATACCAAAAAAATTCCCAACCTCTATTAGACTGCTGTCATTAATGTCAATGTTGACAGTTTTTGATCAAGTATCATCGAACGCATCTTAAAGAAAAAAAGTAGTAATTTTAACAATTCCTTACCGATGGGAATAGTAGAAACCCACTTCTTCGGTCAGAATGTGGATGGCCAATTCGAACAACACCCAATGGAACGTCGGTAATTCCCTCAACGATGGGTAACCCCTCCATTTCATGGCCCAATACATCAGAATAGATACCGGCATTCCCACGACGAATTGGTTAAATAGCACGCTATAGATCACCTAAAGTAGCAAAGCAACAGATGAATTATATCCACGCGAAAACACACATCTCTTACATGTAACAATCTCTTATTGTCGACCGGCTCGTTGGTTCCAGGCTGGACTTTATATTTTCTAATCACAGAAGGCATGTTGGTGACGTCCATGAAAGTGTAGATGCCTCCAAACAACCAATACACCGAGAACGTGATGGCCATCGAGCAGTACACCCACAACGTGAACGGATCCTCGCCGACGATGTCCAGGAATATGTCCCATTGCGCTTGCCAGAAGTGGCCGGACGCGCCCCAGAACCGCTGGCAGTGCCTGGAACAAGCGACTTTACACCCGTTTACTTATCGCTCGGGCGATTTATAGTTTTTACCAAGTGATCGAGTTCCTGGCGGCCGCGAAGCACACCAGAGCCGTGCTCAGCACGATCAGAACGCTCCTCAACAGCGATAGTATAGAGGGATTGTTCTGGACGTTTTGCGGTTGCTGTTGGTTGTAGTTGTTTTTTCTCGTCGGCGTCGGCTCCCCGCCCGATGAGGACGACTCGTCCTCGTATTCGCCCAACATTATCAATCCTGAAAGAAATTTTGCTCGATTAATTTCTATTATTACAACGCCATCTACCTCTAACATATGGCTGTAATACTTGTGGTAGTGACGTAACTATTCAACGAGAGGTTTGGTTGGCTGGTGTTGGAATTGAGCGAAAATAGAGCGCTGTGATTGGTTTGGATTCAGGTACGTCATTGTCATTCGTGGCGGCTTTTGAGTATAGCTTATTTAATATTAAATTCGTTTTATTTTAATGCTTTAATTTAGATGAATTTCAATGAAGATGTTTATTGGACACGAATCATAAAGGAATACGAGACATGAAGAATATAGAGTAGTACAAAAAAATAAACAATGAACCATATACAGATTTGTGCAACAAAGACAACTTCAATTAGACACTTATAACGGAAAAAGAAAGAGTGACATTTGTGTCATTGCAACTTTTCACACTGACACCGGTTATTTTATTAATCTTTCTTTGTTCCACTCATAGAAATGCGCATGTTGCAATCGCGAATGAAGCACAGTGTATAGGTAGATGCAACATTGTTTGCTATATGGGTGCAACAAAGAAAAATTCCAATGGTCTCACATAAAGAAACAAGAAAGAATGATAGTGGAATTGCAACTTCCTTACTCCAACCACTGATATTTTAATAAAATGCTTCTTTGTTCGACTCGTAAATAGACCATATTATCGCAAGTAAATTTTCACTTATCCATATGTTACGAGTAAAATGAATGTTTTTTGAATCATTCAGAACAACAATTTCGATAAATGTTGTTTTAATGCCTAATACGAGTAGATTCGATTTAGAATCGAGTGAAAAAAGGAAGCTCATTAATGGGTTAATAACGACGGTAAGGACCTTGAGGCCAGTCCAAGGGAAGAACTGGCTTATAAACCAGCTATAAACCAGCATAATCTACATCAGAGTACAAGGTTAACGTACTTACTTAACTATGCATATTGTGCGAGTATTGTTTTATTGGTATAAAAATCTGATTTTTTTTTCGTGCTGTTTTTCGAAAACAAATAGATCTATGATGCATTTATTATTAGTAAATTGTGTTATCAGATACCTATTAGGAGAGATATTAGCTTTTCATCGCGCAATATTGAATCAATTCACTATTAATAGCAAAATTCTAGATATCAAGTGTAATTAATTTTATACTCGTTTTTCAAACAAACAAAATATTAATTTACTAATCTATTAGCTTTAATTCAACGATTCAAACAATTAATAATTACGCATTTATACAAATATAACTACGTTTTATTGTTGCTATTATTCGCGTTGTTATTACACATAAATTTATTCAACGCTGAAATTATTTCATTTAAACTTACACACATCATAAAAATGCTACGCATTTAAACAATTAAATAACATACTCGCGGCAATTTAAATCGAAAACAAAACATCAAAAACTTACTCTTCCTCTTGTTATATTTCGCCCGTTTGCCCGATTTCTTTTTCATATTTTCCACCGAAAGCGAAACCCAGATATATTATTTGTATCGTGTATAGAAATAATTAAGGTATTCAGGTGGCCCGACAACGTTCGAAACCCGGTGGAATAATTCGCGTTCGCGGTCAGCGGAGCACGGATTTCGAATACCGTCGACGTAATTTAAACAATTTAGAATGTATGCATCTACAAACTCTAATTTAGCGTTGGTTTTTTTCGATCGTTCGTGAGAGGTCTGTGCGTAATCTCGCCCGTAGAGCTAGAGCGCACAGGATGGATTGCGAAGCAAATGGGAAAATTGTTGATAAAACGAATCGCACCGTGTTTTCAATAAGTAACGGGAAGTAGATCGAAACGTAACGTGTTTATTTCTCGTTGCGAGTTTGTTTGCAATGCTATGGGTTTTGTGGTACCTTTTTAGTAGGAATTATGGGCTGGAAAGGGTGAAGTGAAGTTGGTTAAATAAACGATAAGATTGGAAACTTTTCCTAACGGTTCTTGGTCTTTTTTTGATGTAATATTCAGTAGGAAAAGCTAATAGAGGATGATTCGAAGCTTAAATATGTAACTATAGCTTTTTATTTAGCTTTTGGTACCTTTTTGCTAGATTTATAAAGAAAAATGGTTAAATAAAGGATAAGATTCGAAGCTCAGTGGATAACTATATACATATAGCTTTTTTTAAAGTTTGTGGAACCTTCTTTACTAAAATAACAAATAGGAAAAGCTAAAATTGGTTAAATAAAGGATAATTCGAAGCTAAGATATGTAACTATAGCTTTTTCTTTAGCTTTTGGTACCTTTTTTGCTAGAATTATAAAGAGAAATGGTTAAATAAAGGATAAAATTCGAAGCTCAGATGATAACTATATACATATAGCTTTTCCTAAAGTTTGTGGAATCTTCTTTACTAGAATAACAAATAGGAAAAGCTAAAATTGGTTAAATAAAGGATGATTCGAAGCTTAGATATGTAACTATAACTTTTTCTTTTGCTTTTGGTACCTTTTTTGATAGAATTCTAAAGTGAAAAGGTTAAAATTGATTAAATAAAGGATGATTCGAAGCTCAAAGGATAACTATAGCTTTATCTAAAGTTTGTAGAACCTGTTTAGCTAGAATAACAAATAGGAAATGTTAAAATTAATTAAATAAACGATAATATAGATAACTATAGCCCAAAAATTGATATACCTATAAAAAAAACTTACTATTTCACGGTTTTTAACAAATTGCATGCCATACCGAAAATGGAATAATCCAATAATCTCGTCGCAATCAAAATAAAACGCAATACTCACAAAATCCAATCTAATTTACGCAACATCCAATAAACTAACATAAAATCGCCCTTATCTGGCGCAGTTTTCGCGATAAATACTTACCCGTTTTCCGATTAAAAACGGACAATTTTCTATCCAAAATACGCAAAACACAAATAGCCTAATCACAACATCAATACACCAGTTGGTTAAAAATAGAAAAATCACCAACAGGTGCCGCAACGGCATCTCTCGGCGGCTTTTAACAACAGAGGAAAAGCGATTTTCCGCCAGTTCCCGCGCGAATCGGAAATCGCAGATGGCGCTGAGGAAAATCCAATTTCGATGGGATTCCAAGGAGAAAAAAACATCGTGTAATCTTAGTGATATATTTTCAGCAGTACAAAAACAAAAATATACATACACATACGAAATATGGCAGTGTACTACAAAAGGTACATTATACAAAAAAATACGAAGAGGTGCATAAATAAATCGAAAAAAAATATATATAAAAAAATAAAATCTCGAATAAATTTAGCTCAGAATGTCCATTAATTTCAACGCTGATACAATTTCCAGCACACTTTTATACGCTATATTTAAATGTGCCCGACTACTAAACTATACAAAGACCTATTCGCTATTAATACAAATTTCTATCGTCAATCTCTTACAGTGTGATGTTCCCGTCGAAAAATTAATGGACAGCGCAAAATCCAGTTACCTATTTCAATAAATAACAACTTTTATAATTTACTTACGCTAAAACACAATGGCCTATTTAATGATTCACTGCTATCAGACTCAAATTAATGTGGTGACATATCGTTAACTACATACTGAATATACCATTTAATCGATAGTAACTCCTTAGTAAAACGTTAAATATTCTATTAAAAACGGTTCGATAAAATTTTAAATTCTCGAAATTTCGATATAATAAAACAAATTTAATTACTCACTTTTTTTAAGTAAAACTCGAACGCGCTGCACGTTCAACAGTTCACATTTTTAGACGGATTAAACGTCAAATTAATACAGGGCGTTCTAATATTTATTGTTACAAAATTTAATAATTTAGTGAAGATATTTAATAATAATACGGTTAGTTTGTTGCACCATAATATACGCTCAATTTATGGTAAAACCAACGAAAATTTCGAGTCGCGACAAATACAATTCGCGGGGGCACTAAACAGACCTAAATTGAGATCAGAAGTTTCTAATTCGAGCTAATTCTAAGGCCTCTTAAGTATTAGGTCCACAGTTATTTATTTCACAATAAGTACTCTAATAACAACGTTTTCTTTTATATTTTTTAATATGTACACTTAGTTTAAAATGTGTTATAAAGTTCGTACGTTTTAAAACGACAATGACGTCGCGAGCTAGCCCGTTGCAACGTTGCCACGTTCTAACTAAAATCCTTTAAATAACAGATATTTTTAAGGTGAGAAATTACCAAAAACGACGTCATAGTAGTTTTAAAACGTAGGAACATTAAGGAAAAAATTAAGGAAAGTATCTTGCGCAGTCGCAGGCCTGCAAATTCCTAACGAGATAAACCAATTGTACGAGGGATGTCTTCGAAGTTCTGGAAATTGAATTACATGAGGTGAGAGACGCCTTTATTCAACCATCCACAATTCCCAGTACTTTGTCGACACCCCTCGTAGTTCGAAAGCCATTTAAAAACGAATCCAAACGAAGAAAATGACTAGAGACGAGAGATTATTAAACGTTGACAAGTACAATGTTACTCTAACAGAGCCGCACTAATTTGTTCTAAATTTGATAAACCGGATATGGCATTTTTGTACCTTCGATTCGATCCTCGCAGAGATATGCACATCTAAACCCAAACACCGTGGGGATTTTTATTGGTAGGCACGGCGTTCTCGAGCTGCCTCGGCGAGCCGATCATTCTCCTCGTGCTGCCCGATTTGGCGGGGCCCTCCAGTATCTGCCGAACGTCCTCCGGCGGCACGATGCTCAGGCTCTCCAGGTTCGCCTCTTTCATTTCCTGCACCAGCCGTTCCACTTGCCTCTTCTTTTCGACGATGGCCGTTTCCAGCGACGTCACCTGCAAGTTCGTTCGCTTTATGAATCGAATTTAGAGAAATCGTTACGATCGAGGATTTACTTCGCATTTTAGTGTTTCCGCCGTGAGGTGGTGCAATTCGGCGCTTTGCTTGGCCAATTCGATGTCTTTTTGTAGTCGGTCGACTTCCAGAAGGATGTTTCGTTCGAGCTGTTTGAGGGATTCCTGTCTGCGACTTTGGGCTCTTTGTTCCATTTGAACCTCGTCCATCAACAATCTGAAAATGCATCGATTTAAATTAAGACTAGTATAACGTACTTTGTTCTACTCCGAATGAATTCTCTGCATCTACTCTGAATCCATTCTGGATCAGCTCTGAATCCATTCTGAATCTATTCAAAATCTATTCCAAATCAATTATAAATTTAATTCAATTCTGGATCTGAACTACTCTACTCTACTCCACTCTGGCTTATTCACCTTATTTTATTTTTGCATTGCAACAACTCCGTTTCGCAATTAGCTAGTTTCGATCGTAACAAAGTTATTTCAGACTGCAGCGTTTTCTCCTGTTGTTTAACAATTTCGCTTTCTTCTTCGACGTAGCACAAAGCTTGCATCTGAAAAGAACGATATAAATCGCTTATAAACAATTAGAAAAACGTACTTGTTCTTGGTTATTTTTGCTGACGTTCGTTATCGCCAAAATCTCTTGGGCTATAAAATCCAGCTGTCTCTGTTTCTCCCTTTCTTTATTCTCTAAAAACACAATTTCCGCATCGTACTGAAAATTACACGAATTATTAAACTGCACGATTATCGAGTACTATATTACTTTATGCATATCGGCTTGTTGGGTCGACAATTTGTCCCTCTGGTAGCTGATAAGCGCCACCAGTTCTCTATATTGAGCGTTATACAGGATATTATCCTGGATTTTGTTCCTATTCTCGTCTTTATCCTTCTTCGATTGATCCTAAAATTAAAAAAATTCAATCGAGCTCGTTAATAGTTCTGTGGAAATGTAGCTTACCCGTTTGAATTTGTCATGGTAAATTGCTGAACTAGGTTGAGGGGGGTCCCTGTAGGGCGGCGGCGCCGGCGGGTCCTTATAAGGCGGCGCTATCCTTTGACTAGAACTATCCGATATGTCCGATCCGGACATGGAGTAATTAAATCTTTTTGGTGAGCTGTGCAAGGAATTCGAATTGGAAAGCGACTCGCGCACTTCCAACGAAACGGGCTTGATTTGCGGGATGCCTTTGACTATACCGACGTTTTCGTAGTTCGATAAGTAACTGTTGTTCGCTAGAGCTCTGTGCACGTCCCGTTGCGGCTCGCAAGGCGTCTCCAAGCTGGAATTGTGAGTGGGCGTGCTGCTGCTGCTTCCCGAGCTTTTGGCTTTGGCTGGCTGCGTAGCCTTGGTGGCCTCGTTGCGTTGCAATATGAATTGCACGTCGTTGGAGTATTCGCCCCATTTCATGATGATTTTCATCGGGTTTTCTTGCGGGGACAGTTGCCTCTCGTTGTTTCTCCATCGCTCGATCAGAGTGAACCGGCCGGATTTGCCTGTAGCATGGGCGAGGGCGAATACGACGTCCTGAAAATAAGGTCATTATATGAAGTGAGTATTTCGATGAGTATTTATATTCATACTTGGCAGGTAGTGGTTTCTGTAACGCCGCAAACGATACGTTGGATGCCCTCGACCCAAACTTTCAATTCCATTTTGGCCAGAAAACAACTGGAAATAAATAAATAATGCTGGGAGGATCGCTGGAGGAGTTTGAAAAAAAACTTACTTCAAGACATATTTTCGCTTGTTAGTGAATTTAAGTATTCAAATAAGGCTGGACCGTTTTTGGATTGTGCATGTTTCCAACTTGTTACAATCCTACTTTTAATTCGTATTTCCTGTTTGCTTTTTTTCCAATAAAATAAAATCCACCTTGGTTTGGTATTTACTAAAACGTCAGATTTTTGTTGTCAATTGAAACGTCAAATTGTTTGATCAATATTTGTTCCGATTCGCAATCGCTATCACTATACTTGTCTCGTTTCAAACTACGAAGAAGAACAAAGAGAGTGAAAGTTGGCTGAATCAGTATGAATCATACACTTCTTCTTTTTATACAAATATTTTTAATTTACCAGAAATAATTTGTGGCAATAATAAAACGAAAGAATGAATTCAACACATTTAATTTTAACAACATAGACAAAGCAAAATTTGGTCTAGAATTTATAAACGTGATAGTACAATAACCTTATAGTAATATTACTAATAAAAAAGAAGAAAACACGTCTGATTTTGACGTTTTATATGTCATATTTGACTTGTTTATCGGCTGTGTAAAGATTTTAGTAATTTAGTAATCAAATATTTCCATTTAACAATACATTATAATTAAAATGAATGCTCAACCGGGGGTTGTAATAGTTAGTTGCAGTAAAACCAAGCCGAAATCTCTAATCAAGCTGATAGCGAAGACGCAACAAACGAGCGAAAACGACGACAAATCCGGTTTTCTAACGCATCCCTGGAGTATAGAAACAAAGTATTATACGGCTCAAATAAATTTAATAGGCGTCGAGACTGATCGTCCATTGGACAGCAATTTCCTAACTAGCGTAGAAGCTTTAATAATGCACATGGACTCGAACAGCGAGAGCGGTTTGGACGACTTGAAAAAATGGGATTTCCTCGATAACGACTACAACATAGATATAAAACTGCTGTTAGCGAACTATTGTAACGATACCACGAAAGTAACGAAAGCCCAGGCGCTGGATTGGTGCCTGAAGCGAGGCTTCGAATTCATCGAGCTGTACCCCACGATCGAGAAATGCAACGAAAACGATATCATAGCCGAGAAATTCGGCGTGGATAGAGTCATAGAAGCATTGCACTCGCACACGTGGTCGAATCTCGTAATGAAAGGCAAAAGCATATCGAAACCCTCGAAAAACCCCAAACCCGGCGAAGCGGAGAAGGAAATTAAGAATCCCTTATCGACTGATCACATCGACGATTTCACGGATCTGTTTTCCCAATTGCAAACGATGAAAGACAGTTTACACGGGATGCCCGTGAATCAGAGGAAACAGTGTGCGGAGCAGATGGTCACTGCCTTTTGGAAGGCCATCGGGGGCGAGGAAGAGGAACTGTTGGACATTTAAATGTAGAAGGAATATGTAGCTAAGAAAAGTACAAATTACGGGCGCGTTATCCTGGAATAGTTATTGTTAATTTTATTGCGTATGTGGGACTGTAAAATACAAGCCCAATTACAGATTGAATTCGATTAATCGGTAATTGGATTTCGTAATTTAGGTGCATATTTTATGTGATTTTTGTTATAAAATATTTAGTAATTAATGAGCGCATAATTGTAAGAATATAGTCTGTAATATATACATTTTAACTTTGCCAAAGAGCTTTTATCAAAGAAATAATAATTTTTTGGTACTTATTGCCAATAAGTAACCGCTTATTTTGTAACAGTTGTTACTGCATCTCTATACCAAAAAATTAATTCCCAACTTTTAAAAAACTTCTGACTTTCGAAAGGTCCTTCCTGCCAATCTTGACAGCTTTGTTTATGCACCATCGAACGCATCTTAGAGCCTCACTGATTGGCGTACAGAAAAATATCGTTTATGTGAGTAGCAGAACAGAGTAGAATAATTCAGAGAACGATAATTGAAATATAACGCTTATTTTATAACATTCGTTACAGCACCTCTATATAAAAAAATCATTCCCACCTCTATTTAACTTCTGTCATTCGAAATGTCATTAATGTCAATTTTAAAGTATTTTTCTTCTACGTATTTTTCTCCCCATAGAATATTGTGAAATTCCTGTGTGGTTTTAGTGCTCTCGGAACTGTTCAAAACACTTTGTTTACAGGTAAATATACTCTAAGGGGTTCAAAATTTTATACATAATGAAATTTATAAAGGATTAATAACTGGTAAAATTAATAACACGTTCTATGATAACCCCTCTACGCCAAAGTATACCTAATATCTAATTACCTATGCATGTAAGCCAGTGAGGCGAGAATGTGTTTAGGTAGAGGAATATGTACGTTGGTGTATTCTCCGAAACAGCATACATTCCAATTACTGAAAACAACTTGCTTCTAATTGCCCGCTCATCAACAATACGCTCACATATAAGCTCGCCGTCGAGCGTTGATTACATATTATATGTTTTAATATTAATTAGTGCAATTCAACCGAAATTAGGCGACTGTATCATGGAAATTTCTACAGCCAGTTCGCCGCATTCTCCGGAGATTTCGAAATTTATTTGCCACAATCGAACTAAATTGTGTAAATAATATTCGGATTAGTTCCTATCACATGGTAGGGTATACGAACAGTATTATTTATTTAGATTGCTTCGGTCGTAACGAAATTATCGAAAGCGTCCCCGAAGAAATAATAAAATCCTCGAATCGCCAAACTAATTATTATTGAGATATATAAGTCTTTAATTTATATCCGTCCGTTGCCATTATAGAAATCGCTTCGCGCCCAACTGAATCCGAATCAAATTAGCACCAACTTTGTAAATTAGTTTTCTTACTCGGCGAAGTGAAGCGTAAGAATTTTCCTTCCTAATAGGATTAAATGGATAATTAACTATTGTTTGATAATTACGTTTAACTCGTTTCTGATCACTAGGCTGATATAGACTTCGCTTTACGGCCGTCGCGAATTCGGTGTCGCCCAAATTACCCGACGAAAACGTTCTAATTTTCCAATAGGAATTCATAAATCAGCCGGGAAAATAAAGTTCGCCCCGTCGCCGTTTCGATTCTTCGATTCCGCGTTTTGCTAACGAATAGCTAATTGTTCAAGATTCGCTCAATTTTTTGTACCCAGTCGATCCAAACCAGAGTTAGATGTATTCATTTAATCAATCAAGAGTCTTTGTCTTTTTAAATTGACAGTTTTACATTGTTGTTATGGAGTAACTAAGGAGATTTTTTTCATTTGACAGTTTTGACAGTTTTACATTGTTGTTATGGAGTAACTAGGGAGATTGTTTAATTTGACAGATTTAATTTGAGAAATTCTTTCGCTTGACAGATTGAATTAACTACCAGTATTCCACTTTTTTTTCGAAATACCCGATAAACAAATAATCGAAAGCTATAATTGCGACAATGCCGGGATAGAGAGCGAGTAAATCATGGGCGAACAAACGAGCCGGTACATTTCATAAGCCCGCGTGCGGCGTTAAATCGAGATCCAACATCTGCTGCTCAAATTATAATCAGACCGGGGACGGCCGATATGGCTCATCCCGGATTACGTTGTTATTTCGTCTCTACACCTTGACCACAAGCGGCTCGCTTTACATTCTCTGAAAATTGATAACCTTAATGCGCCGCACGGAAAAGTAGGGTGGAAGTGGATGAACGAGCGCGCCCGCGAACCGGGAAATTTTGCAAATCGTTTTCGACCGAATGCCGTTTCAACGCTAATGGATTTGTTAGACGTTTGGATGCGGGAAAATTCTGTATCAGAATAAACACTTTCGATACCGGTCTACAGATCTAACACTGGTCTAATGTGTGTTGTACCTGAATAACTTATCATTACAAGGCAGTTTAACATACGTTTATATCGTGACTTTTGAGTCATACAAATGACCAACTGAGTCACACGATTGCGGAAGATTGAGTCACAATATTAAAAGGGAGATTGAGTCACACGATTAAGCAAGTTTGATCAAGATTGAGTCGCTTTCGCGTCACTTTTAAGATATTTTTGAGTACATTTTGGGACAGCTTTGAGTCTCTTTTGATTCACGTTTCAATACAATATAACTTTTGAAGTCTACACAAATAACCTTTTAAAGTTTAATTATTTCACTCCCTATTTTTTTTCACACCTATCGACTACCCTAAAAACCCGTTGGATTTTAATATTCAGCAAACAGCGTTGTATATTAAAGGTTTTTTTCACATACAAATGAGCGTTATATAATTAACAAGGCTATTTACGCATTTTTTTCCTGGAACCGGTCCCTTTCCTGGACCCGAATTAGACCGGATAAATCCCCGATTTTCATTTGTAACGCGTACGTAATCTGCAAAAAACCCGGTTTCGGATTTTTTTTCGCGACCGGTCTTTTTTCGGCGCCGATTTAATCGAATCAATTTATGAAATATTTAATTGGAATTGGGTAATTCAAGCGTCGAGACCGGGCAATTAAATTTTTAATTTCGAAAGCCGACCGAAGACGTGCATTAGGCATTGTGAGGAGAAAACGGTGGAAAATCGATGGGGGAAAAAAAGGGCCGGGGAGTTTTCTTCCTGTCTGCGAAAGCTCGCTTTTTCGCACTTACGAAAATGGAATGTGACTTTTTCCGTTCACTTCCGTATAAATTTTAATATTTCCTTTGATCCTTAAAATGGCGTTCGTTTGTGCGCCATTTTCCAGTTTTCCGAATACTTTCGCATCCCAGGAAATATCCTTGAAATTATTTACGAGGGAAATTGGAAATTAGCATAGCTCGGGTAAATTGTGTGCAACATTGGAACATAACATAAAAGGCGAAAAGGAGAAAATAATTTACAAAAAAATTATTAGTAGGTTAATATTTGCAAATTATATGAACGATTTCTTATCATTAACTTTATAACCATTCAATCTCTAAATAAAATCCCACTTCTGATTGATACATTAGGTAATTGTGGCATAGAAATTATCCCACTTCTGATACTCAAAATTGCTCCAGCATAGATAAATTAATCCCACTTCTAATAGATACTCCAAACTGCTATAGAGTAGATAAATTATCCCACTTCTGATAGAGACTTAAAAGTGCTATAAAATAGAAAAATTATCCCAATTTTGATATAAACTCAAAAATGCTATAGAATATATAAATTATCCCACTTTTTGATAGATACTCAAAAGTGCTATAAAATAGAAAAATTATTCCACTTCCACTAATAGGCAGTCAAAATTGCTATAAAATAGAAAAAATATCCCACATCTGATAGATACTCAAAAATGCTATAAAATAGAAAGAATATCCCCCACTTTTGATAGATACTCAAATGTTCTATAGAATAGATAAATTATCCCACTTCTGATAGTAACCCAAAAACTCCCCTAAAAACTCGAAACTCCCCTATTCACTAAACACACACAATTCAATCCTCGTATAGCATTTTTTTTACGAATTAACGGGCCGGTAACAGTCGCGTTACAGTGGCGAAATTTCATTAATTCGTTATTCGGATATCCCATGAAAATTACCATCGAAAATCATGCGAACGCGTGAGTCAACCCGAGGGGGCCCCGCCCGGCTCCCCATCGCTTACTCACGTATTTAAATGCGTTTTAATGAGGACGGAATAAACGCGAGCGGCGTTTAACAGCTGGGGACGCATTAATTCCGAAAAAAAAATTCCGACTGGATATCATCCAGTAGGTATATTTGCGATTTGTTTTGCACCTGCAATTGCCCGGTTTGTTTGTTGTTTATTAAACGTGTTTCTGCCGGCGCTAATACGCTTTATAAAGTGCACCGGCGTAAGTAAATCGCGTAGAATTTTCCAATTTAAAAGCTGTTATTTTTTTCTAGTGCAGAAGCAATCGACAGAAAAGCAACAGTTAGTTTCGTCACCGATCCAATAAAACCTCCGCCCTCTTTAATATTCCATTCATTTCGACGGATTCAATTTTCCTTCGTTTAGTTTCCAATTTTGTTTTCTCCGGATTGAAAGCATCTGATCCGCGACAATAGTCGATATTGTAAAGAAAATTTCATATCAAGCAAGAGCGGATACAGAATAAAATGCCATCGCGTGTGTGCTCGTTCTCCTATTCGAATGTCACCCCGTGTTTCACTCGATGAAAATTTTTAATTCGTTCATATAATGCACTTTTTGGTGTCTATCAGAAGTGGGATTAATTTGTCTATTCAAAGCACTTTTGAGTAACTAACAGAAGTGGAATAATTTGTTAATTCTATAGCACTTTTATCATCTATCAGAAGTGGGATAATTTGTCTACGCTGCAACTATATGAATCAGAAGTGGGATTTTATTCAGGTAGCGGGTGTTTCCCCTAATTAAAGAAGGCCTTCGTTCGAATCGTAGGCGCGAACGCAAAAAGCCGGGGCGAAAATTAAAAACCCATTACACGGAACGTTCGTACTCGAGAGCGAACTAGAATTATTAGGAGATTTGTTAGTAGCCGGCATAAAATTAGAATATTTTAGGCTAGTTTGACACTCGACTGTGGGATTGAGATGTATGGGAGCGAAAAACGACAATGCGAAAAAGGTACGGAAATGAATTATACATGAGAATTGTACCTAACGGGGAGAGGATATGTAGTTTTCGGGGCGGCACGCGAATTTTCGGGCTTATTAATTAGAAAAAGCGGAATTGCCTGATGCAAAACGAATAAAATGTATTGTGATTTCCGTTTCTATTTTTACGACCGGGTTAAATGTTGCTCGTAAATTCTAAAAGCATGGAAAAGATAAGAAATCTTTCAAATTAAATATGGTCGATACCAATCCAAATTCCCTACAAATTTTGAAATAATTTAAATATTTCTACAAGCACTGATAATTTCTATTTATCAGAAGGGGGATAATTTTTCTATTTTATAGCACTTTTGAGTATCTATCAAAAAGTGGGATAATTTATCTATTCTATAGCACATTTGAGTATCTTTAATACTACTTCTAATAGCACTTTTGACTGCCTATTAGAACTGGGGAATTTTTTCTATTTTACAGCACTTTTGACTGCCTATTAGAAGTGGAATAATTTTTCTACTTTATAGAATTTTTGAGTATCTATCGGAAGTGTGACAATTTTTCTATTTTATATCACGTTTGAGTATCTAACCCACTTCTATCCCCAGTATTATTCATCCCACTTCAGATAGAAACTCAAAAAAACTACAGAATATTAAAATGATCACCATAAATTCCAGTATGATACTCTACCTACTCTAGTACGACCCAAAAAGGGCCCGTTTTATTTAACCAAATTGGAATCCCTGTTGCAAGGCAAGTCGCCAGCCCGATATTTCCGAATGAAAATCTCCCATTATCAAAGTGTTTTCTGTTATGGAGTAATGCGATTGCGAATTTCTTTCCGAGCGACGTGCACTTGCCGCGAATTTGCGAAAAGCCCCGACGTGGATGTTAATTCCCTTTAATTATCCTTTGTCCGACACGCTCGGCACCGGCGGCTTTATTTGCGGACGCGGTACCTTTTCCTTTTAGTCGAAACAGCCGGGATTTGGGAACGGATCGAAAATTAACAATCCATTCTTCTTTTTTTCCCGTTTTAGTTTCGCCGGAATACATCAACTAAATTGACATTAAAAAAACCGGGCGTTTTTGATTTCCACCACCGGACATCTAACATCTAATATAGCGAAAATAAGAAATTTTTATTTTTATTTTTCCAACCCCCGACGGGGGTTAATTACTGAAATAACCTCCTTCGTGCGACACCTGCCATGTATCGTTTAAAATCCGCAGGGTTATTACGACTCGCCCGTCTCATATGTACACGAAACATCCCCTAAAACCCCGGAAAAATTCGGAAATAGTGCAGAAGACGAATTAGACTGGCAAAAAGGAACGTTGTAGGCGCGAAAAGCGTTAATAATTTTCATAAAAATCGCTTCCTACACGCGCGAAAATGGATCGGTGTACGATAGAGTTCGGTTAAAAATATCTCTGAAGTTATTTGTGAATTATTCAAATTTGTTGAGGTGCGTAGGTGTGATGAAAAATGTGTTATACAGGGTGTTCCATAATGACAGGCTAATATTTAAGGGGATGATTCTTGGACCCATTTTAAGAAAAAAGAACTTTTGAGATGAACATTTGAGGTGAAACGATTTGAGATGAATTTGAAATGAAACGATGAGTCGTACGGAAAAAAGTGAAGAAATCAAATTTGTTCTAAATTGAATGAGGATTCCGAAAATAATTTTTATTTCAATATTAGACAGTGGCGTGCCCTTTTTTTGCAAAAATATTCAATGCAAACCCCGTACGGACGCCACTGTTGAAAATAATAAAATTATTTGTACACCAGAAAATGCATCTTGATTCATAGAAGGCGTGTACCAAATTTCAAAAAGATATCTACAATAGTATCACAGTTATTACAAAAAATTTGATTTGATTTTTTTCTTAAAACTTTAACAAGCTCTATCTCAAAAGTTAAGACATTTAGGACATAAGTTCATATGAAGTTTTTTCCTCAAAATATCTCCAGGAATCACCCCCTTAAATATTAGCATGTCATTTTTGAAGACACTGTATTTTTGTATAATTTATTCAAAAAAAGTCTGCAGGAAACAACATAAAGAAAAGAATCCGGCGATATCGGTTCCTTAGACATACGTACGTTATTTTTCAAACAAAGCAATTAAAAGTGGCCAGAAAATCATCGCAATAAAAGACACATCGCGATACATATACAGGGTGTTTCAAAAAAAAACTCGATACAGAGTTAAAACCGCTTCGCGACCGCCGGTTGCATCGGGGGTGGTACATTATCGGCGGTTCCGCAGGTGAGACTCGGGCGGGCGTCGGCGCTCTTCGGGCGCCCGCCGACGCCGGAGTATCGCCGTCGGACGAGCGGCGTCGCGGCGTCAGTATCGGAAGATAAGAGGCGCGCGTCGGTGTTTCGGTTTTTTTTTTTAACTCGGCGGGTCTTCGCGCGACGTTCTCTGACGAATTCCGTGTTGGGAGACGGAAAATCCGCGATTCGGATGCGATAAGAGTGAGGCGGTAATCGAGCCGGGTGGATCGCGGTACGCCATGAATTTGATTATGCTGGCCGTCGTGACGGCCGTCGCGGCGCAAACTATCATGCCTGATGAGGAGGAATCCGAAACAGGTAAGATTGGTTTTTTTTGCGATGTTATATACAGCAAACTTAAGTGCGGAATTATCAATTTTTTTTGGCTAATAGAATTAATATATGAGTCGTTTGATGTAGGTAGTTAATTAAAAAATTCAATCAAAATTTAATAGAATTTAAGAGAGTTTTATTTAAGGATGGTTGTTGAAAATTACGATTTATAAGAGTTTATTCGCTATAACCTAAGTAAAAAAATAATTAAAACATAAAAATTATCTAATTAAATATAAAATTTTCAATTCCCACTTCAAAATTACTCGCATAAAAAAATTATTAACATTATTAACTCTACTGGTAGAAAAATGTATTATTCACACATACTAAAATTTCGATTTTTTTTCTTTATAATAGAAATCTACCTAATAAAAAATTCCAAACTATTCTACATAAAAAATATGTATCTAAATCGAGGACCATTTATCTCTAATAGCAGAAAATTTATTAATTCACATGAATCATTCATAATAAGTTAAATCACCGTCCTAAAATTTTAATATTTTCCTTTTAATATATTCATTTTTCGATCAAGTTTTCTCAACAGCGTTGCCAAATCACCGTGCTAAATCCGTGTTATCCGGGAAATTTCCTTCCCTCACCGAGCATTCTATAATCCACAGCAGGATTTATATCTTCTCCTCAACCGAAAAATAGCGAAAAAATTAAAAAGATAATTAATTTCAAAACTCTTTAAAACCACCTACTTACGTCAATTTTATTATTAAATTCTACTACTGGAAAATTTCGTTTTTTTTATGTTCATTTTTCTCAAAAATTATCCCAACAGCGTTGCCAAATCGCCGCGCTGAATCCGCGGTCTGGGGAAGTTCCCATCCCTCGTCGAGCATTCAATAATCCACCGCGGGATTTTTTTCCCGATGCGAGATTTATGTAAAGGACGCGTCACTCGATATCTCTCACTCGGCTCGAAATAAAAGCGGCGTTCGAGGGCCGCTATTTTTCGACAATATGCGGGGGAAAAGTGCATGCGAAGGATACAATGGAATTTTCCGAAATATAACGCGAGAATAAAACTGTCACTGGCGCTCGAATTAACGACCACATCAAAATTTGCTCGCGTATCAACTAAAAAAAAATAATAACTGACAATACCGTATAAAATATTATAAAACGATTTTTGGATTGTTGGTATAATAACGGGAACAACAAAAAATTCTATATAGCTAGATGAAATTCGAGGGAGCGAAGTGGAGAGAAGTGGGAGAATCAAAAGACAAGAAACTCCATAAAGTTGAACAAATACTTTTAAAAGAATTCCTTCTAATGAGCTTAAATGCGTAGACGAGGAACAACCGGGGCCGGGACTTTCGCCGAGTTATTCGTCGAATAATTAATTAATAAAGAAACAATTCGTGCGTTTGAACTACCTTTGTTTGATAACGTTCTCATGCAAAAATTAAACGGAAAGACGACGGTAATTCGTGTGGAAATTCGCCGTTAAAATTTATCCAAGTTTCCTCATTATTCCGGCATTAATGAATAGAGTAGCACCTTTGACGTTTTTCGAGTATTTATTTTTAAGTAAGTCCTTCGAACGAAAATTAGGAGCGATATGAAAGTTTAAATTGCCTCCCCGTTATCAATATAACTCTCCGATGACACGACGACGCCCCCGTACCGACTACATTAATACAATATTGACCTGTGTTAATGTGACAAGGGAGGTATTAGGGCACATATCCGGAGGGCTGTCGACGAATTATATTGCTCCTGTCTATTGACAATTGCTTGCAAAGCCGTGTATTTGATCATCGTTACATTTCACGTATCTTCGTAGCCTCATCATTACCTATTGAATCATCAGAAGTTGGCTGTGGATGGCAAATATTGTGTTGGTAACACTGTATTTTTTCAATTATTTACTTTGATCATTTCTCATATGTTCATAGCATTATTTTTATTCTTTGAGTCGTCAAAGGTTGGCTGTGGAAGTCAAATATTATGTTGGTAACATTGTAATTTTTTCAAATAAGTATACGTACTTTGATCATTTCTCGTATAATAGCTTTATTATTACTCATTAAATCATCTAAATTTGGCTGTGGTTGTCAAGTATTTTGTTGGTAACACTGTATTTTTTTCAAAATCGATATCTTTGATAAACCATTAATTATAAACTAATAATAAACCCATTGAAATATCAAAAGTTGGCCGTGTATGTCAAACGTACGTGTTACAACTTGTTACCAACTGTAATTTTTTTGTTAAACTGTTGCCAACTTCTCGAAACAATAAAACCCCGAACGAAATCGTGGCGACTTCAACAAAACTGCATTCGACGGCGGATTTATTCAGGCCTTCGTGTGCATAAATTAAATAATGCGAGAGTAGTAAATTGGTTTAGAACAGTTACGAATTCCGTACAAATCATAATTGACCGGTTCAGTTCGTACGTATGTATTAATTAATAATGTACGAAACGACAATTCATTTCTATAACAATAATTTTGAATTAAACTCGAAAATTATATATACGTAACGTTGTTGTTTTGAGCGAAAATACATGCATAAATATACGAGTGCCGTTGTGAATCGATATTAATGCCGTGTTAAATATCACTCAAGTGGATGGAATATATGCTATTGGTTTTGTGAAAAAAATTGTACTTGATACGGATCTGTTGGAATTGAGTTGAAATTAAATGCAATTCAAAAGTTGTTCGTTAACACGATTTTTTTTATTAATAATAACGACATCTATTATGATTTATACAAATACTTACAGGGTATTTTTCTGGTGTAACAATTTATAACTAAAATTCTGTGCAAAACAAGTTTAAAGTGCGCTAATTGAAAATCGATTTTTTTCCAATTATCCCAAAATTATTCAATGAATATTCATGAAATTTGGCATATAAATTTTTCATTTATTGAGATTGTTTTCAAAATAAATTAACAAATAAAAATTAGAGAGGGTCATGTACAATTAATTCCCATTATGTTTACTGTAGATTTAAGTTATTTTTGAATCTCTACTAGTTTAATGAATTCATTTTTACACACCCTTTTTACATTTTTTAATATTTATTTTTATAATGACCATTCTGGAAGACTCTTTCAAACCACACGCTATTAAATTTAAACAAAATTACAGGTCTTATGTTCAACCTACACATTTTCGGTAATTATTAATTGGATCGTGAAGGGTAACTTTTAATTCTTCATGTGTACACAATGATCCTCGGGGATTAAAAACCCTCTCCGTCCACTCTTCGGCGTATAAATTTATCGTTCGGTTTTTCCCCTTCGAATTTCGGAAACATTTATGTTAAATTTATACACCTATTTAATCCGGCGCATCGATCGCAGCGAGCCGATTAAAAAGTGGCCTTTTACCGTACGGCAAGCAACTTATTTAAACATTCCATCTGATGCGAATATCGATCGGCAAATCGGGGGCGACCGTGTGTTATTTTTATATAAATTTCCGCGTATTTCACTATTTATGTAACCCCGAAAAAAATCCTTGTCACTCGCCGTGTAAATAAATTAAGCCATTTACGCAAACATGTCGGGTTTTTAATTAAATTACGCGAGAGCGGACGGGTTGCGGTCCACCCTGTATACAAGCGATGATTTTATTTACAAAAATTTGTGGCTCTTTAAATTAGAAAACCAGTTGCAATTTCGAGGCGATTTTTCTTCTCTAACGCCACGGCGAAATCCCCCGCTAATATATGGGGGGATTGCTCTATCCCGGAGGACTAGAAAGTTTGAGGAACGCCGGGCTTCCTCCGGGACATTTCCAGTATATCAGCGAAGAAATCGCGTAAAAAGTTATTTTTTACTCGCGCTAAAGAGGCGTCTGTTGGGGGAATTTTATCCCGTAAATTCGTTTGTCAATCGGCCCCCGTTTTATTTATTTATTTACTTCCATATAATTAGCCCCGACAAATATCGAATTTCCACCCTCGCGCTGTAAACTAATCCGATTAAATTGCGGTTAAATTATTACGTTTTAGCTCGTCCCCGACCTTTTACGTTCTCGATAGTTTTAAATTAGAATATAACGAAAGTATTTTAACGCGAATCATCCCCCCAAATTAGGTACAAATAAAGTTTTCTTTAAACTATATCTACTCGAGTACATCGATTGTATCAATATCGATAAAACAATTCTACGGCAGTATTGGCGTATATTGGAGAAAATATAAAAATAGATACATTTCGAGGCGTCTGTGTTTCGGTTTATTGAAAATATCTGCTCGGTCCCTCGTGGGAGTTTGTTCCCCCTAAAAAATTCGATTTACAGACGTCAAATAGGCGTTACTCACTCGCTTTATTTTTTATTCGATGCTTTACAAAATTAGCATGTAGTAAAAGCGGCGGAGGGAAATAAAATTATACAGTGTGAACCAACATATGTAATGAATAAATTCATTTTCTCGGTATTTAAAAAGGACGAAATGGGCCTGAATGACTCACCCCTTTTCCAAATTAGAATAATAGGTTTGTGAAATGGAAATTGAAAATACCTTTTAAAAAGAGGTGTCACAAGTTTACCCTACTAATAAAAAAATAAGGGTGGTAAGTTTAATATGAAAGGTATTTAGTTAGAGGTGAAAAGTAGGTAAACAAAAATTGGTCTTTAACTGAATTTATTCATTACCTACAAATGGTCCACACTGTATATAAAAATCTGCATGAAATAGGGTTATAATGATAAAACGTCGCATGGTATATTTTTTTCTGTTGTTTGCCATTTTCCCAAGTTTGTTAATATCTCTCGACCGTCTTCTTTAACGCAGGCATAATCTCCTGCGAATTACCTTATTCCATAGATTCCGGGAATTCCCAGGGCTTTCGCGAAAGTTGACGTATTCTCTGAAAGCTATTCGCGGCATTGTGTTCCGTCCGAGCATTCTCCTCTTCCGAGGCGAACTAATAGAACTCCGGCAAAAGCAAAAAAAAAATTCAAATGACAAATTCGGAAAATTAAGTTCGGCCATTTTTTTCCA